TGAAAATTTATTTATTTATTAAATAAGTTAGATAATTCACTACCTCAACCTATATCAACAGCTGTTTTCGGCAAAGATGGGAGTGCTTGTTGACAGAAATTTAGTGACCCACATCAGGTGGTAAAGTAAAGCATTGGTTACACACTCATCTTTCAACTAGGGGTCTGGAATGGACATGAAAAGGTATGAGGTCACCTTCCGCAGTAAGAACCATCACACATTACCATCTGAGCCATCAAAAGTGATAATATAAGTTGGGATGACGTGTTTCATGACTAATGTTGTAAAAAAATCAAAGTTTAAAAGAAAATAAAAAATAAAAAGAGGCCCATGGGGCCTTAACGGTCATCTGACTATAAAGACCGATATCTGAAAGAGGCCAAATAGGCCTCAAGTAAATTGCTCATCTACACTATAGCTTACATAGAAGACAGCAAACTTGAAATAAACTTCTCTTTATACATGGCACTACAAAATGCCATTACTCCTGACCTTTCACTTGTTGAAAAAAGAAACTTTTAAGACCCCAACTCATTTGACCCAAGATACCTTGATTATAGGTCAAGGTTGGTTATATGAATAAATTGGTAGCCATTCATCCACACAATAAAGAATCAACAGTCTGGACTTTTTTATTATAGAGAAGTTTTCAAAACTTTTGACCTCTGTTACCTTTAACAAAAAGAAAAGGTCAATCATGTGAACAAAATTAGTAACCCTTCATCCAAGCATGCCACAGGCCCAATAGTAGTGCCCTACGCCTTTTGTTCATTGAGAAGAAGTCAGGTGAAGATTTTGACATATTTGACACCTGTGACCTTGAAAAATGGTCATGGTCAAAAATAAACTCTTCATGCCAGCATGCAACAACACCAATAACAGCACTTTAGTCCTTTTTGTTACACATTTTTTACACTTTTGTTACCTGTAATATTGAAAATGGTCAAGGTCAATGATAAAAACAAAGTTGGTAGCCTTTCATCCCTAGGCTACAGGCCCTTGGCCTTCTGGTTATTGAAGGAAAGTTGTTTATAGATTTTAACATATTTGACCCCTGTTACCTTGAAAGTTAGTCAAGGTCATTGATTTTAACAAACTTGGTAACCCTTCATCTCATCACGCTACAGGTCCAATATCAGCAGTCATTGGAACATTGGAATGGAAAGCTTAAGCACGGTGAATGACGACGGACCCTTTGTGTCAGATGACCTAAACACCCACAAGGGTGATCTTGTGACTAAAACGATAGATCTACCTCGGTAGATATCTACGTAAAATAAATAAATACAAGTGCTATTTTGGAATCACATTTTATTTTATCATTCAAAGCAAATTTATGGAAGATATTTGTACTCAGCCATTACACAACTGTTTGTATTGCTGCTTTTAAATAGATAAAAAAAAAGAAAAATAATTAAAAAAAACCCTATCAAACAATATAATTATACATAAGTTCCAAAATGCATATATATATATGTGTGTGTGTGTCATAAAATCTACATCGAAATTCATACCAGATTACAAAGGTACCTTTACCTAACCCTGATTGTAAAAATGAATATTTATTACTATATATGACTAAAAAGAAGACAAAATTCCAAAATAATCAACAGTTTTGAACATGAATTATGATTGGACTTGAGACCATCCATTTGTCTCTGCATGTTCTCAAAATCTTGATAAATAATCCCTCTTTTACAGTATCTGTGTTAAACTGGTAATAAGTTCAGGTCTGGTTGTAAGCTTATCCCTGTATCTACTGTTATTAAGAATTCATGTGAATTATGAAGTACTATCTGCAGTCATGTCCTACATGAATATACCATTATGTATGTCATACAGCAATATATACCAATCGTATGTACAAAAACTGTTTGGTCACCTTCACTTTTGACAAAGTGACATGGTATGAAACTTGTAACACTCATGTACACAATATCTGATATACTCACACATACCTAAAAAAACAACATAATTTAGCAATGGCTAGGAAAGTCCAGCTATCCTTATTGATGCAAATACAGATATTTGTAAACTGAGGTAACTCAAATATACAGATATTTGTAAAACCTAGGTAACTCTAAAATACAGGTATTTATAATACCGAGGTAACTCAAATATACAGATATTTATAATACCGAGGTAACTCAAATATACAGATATTTATAATACCGAGGTAACTCAAATATACAGATATTTATAATACCGAGGTAACTCAAATATACAGATATTTATAGTGCCAGGGTAACTCAAATATATAGATATTTACAAACAAGAGGTAACTCAAATAAAAGATATTTGTAATGCAGATGTAACTCAAACAGATATTTATAACACCTGGGTCTCAACAAAGAGAAGAGCAGTGCACCAAAATTATCACTCTCATTTGCATAATTTAGGAGTTATTGCCCTTTGTTATTTTTCATACCTAAATTTTATCTGAAGCATTACACTAAAACTATTAGAGGTATCAACATGAAACTTCAAAGGTAGATAGATCTCAACAAGTGCAGTTCACAAAAACTCTTTTTTGCATGATTTAAGTGTTATTGCCTTTGTTATTTTTCATACTTTTATCTGGAGTATTACACTAAAACTTTAAGAGGCATTAACATGAAACTTTCTTGGTAGATCAATCTCAATGAGTAGGAAAAATCATAACACTCTTATTGCCCTTTGTTTTTTTCTATACTTAAATTTGTCTCAATCTGGAAGCATAACCCAGCCCTTGTTTGTTTATGTTTTTGTTTAGAAATTGAAGATACATGCTGTATATTTTGAATTGACAAACATTAAGTTTGATGGACTAAGTGTAATATTGTGAAATCTTTTATTTTATGGAGTTCAATTTTCATGGTTTTTCAAGACAATTACTATTTTGTAAACACTTGATTTCTTGGATAAATATATCTCAATAAATCTGCTTATACTAATTCATGGACCAATAAATTTGTGGATTATAGAGTATCAATGAAATCAAGAAAAACAAGAGATCCCAGAGGGATCTTGGCGCCCACCTTTGTTTGATCTTTATGTTCTCTTTGAAAGTTGGATCTTTTCCCTCTTTTTTCTCTTCTCTGTTTTGCTCTTAATGATAAGAAATTAGAACATTCCTTTGCAGAAATAGCGATGATAATCTTTACCTGCAAAATCCAAAATGGCGGCCTATAAGCCATTTTGTTTCTTCTGATCAGTCACAAAATCAAATGAGCACAAAGAGAGACCAAAGGGAACAAATGTATGAAATTTGAGAGATATCCATTGAGTCTTAATAAATAGCAATAACAATCTTTTCTAGGCAAAATTCAAGATGGCCACTTTGTTTTTCTGATCAGTCCCAAAATCAAACATGCACAACTAGGGATCAAGGAAAGCATACCCATGGATCAGGATCTTAATGGGCATACCATCAAGCCATCATCCTTCACTCATAATTCTAACCAAGTCTGAAATATTTCCAATGGAAATTGAACAAATAATGCTCAAAAATTTAATTTTTCCTATATAAACTACAGTAAACATTACTCCCCTCCCAACGTGGAAATTTGAGACCCTGGGCCATCAAATTCACAATTTAAGATGCTTCCATTCATGAAGAGATTTGATTCTTCAATGTCTGGGTCTTGAGAAGAAGATTTTTGAAATCTAAGTCAATTTGACCCCTTTTGGCCCACCACTCAGGCCCCTGGAGGGTGGGGACTGTATAATCTTACACCAGGGAAGGTTTCTGCAAAATTTCATTGAAATTGGATCAGGGGTTTTTGAGAAGAAGTTGAAAGTGTTAAATTGTTTACTTAAGTATGACGCTGAATGAAGGGTATTAGAATATGTCATCATGAGACTTTGTCTCAGGTGACCTAAAAATCTAAGATGTCTGTCTGTCGGCCATTTTGTTTTTCTGTTCAGTCCCAAAATCAAATTGGCATAACTAGGGACCAAGGGAAACCTACATCTGAAATTTTTGAAAGATCAAGCACTTCATAAGAAAAAGAGATGACAAACTTTTTCTGATCAGTCCCTAAATTAGACAAGCACAACTGAGGACCAAAAGGAACCTATATACAAAATTTGAGAAAGATCTATACAGGCAGCTCTCAAGAAATAGCAATAACAAACTTTAAAAATTAAAATACAAGATGGCCGCTTGATAGCATTTTGTTCTTTTGATGAGACCCAAAATCAAATGATCACATCTGATAATGGTGGACTGAAAATAAATCATTCTCAAAAATAGATAATTTTACAGCATATCAGAGACAGTATTAATTATGGGGGTTTGACATCATTGTATGAAAGAGCCATATTTATACAGGTACCCAAGGCAACAACAAAAATTACCTGTTAAGGTGATTAGCTACAAACATACAAGTAAATGTGCAAATAAAACTGTACATACATTTAAAAGTGAAATTTGATTATTGCTTGGCAATAAGATCTTAAAAACTTGATGCTTTAAATGTTATTAAGGCCCAAGTATATGAATGATTCAGTGTATGTTTTTAAAAATCCAGTCAATTTTCATATGACCATCAAAAGTTACAAGTTACTAATATAATAAATAATGGGCCATCCAACACTCCTAATGTAAGAATTTGCGGTAGTGTCTTCGGTTGGATCCTTAGGATTCAATAGAGTTCCTTACTACTAAAACATAATATAACAAAAAGGAATCTCAACAACACGAAGACTTTTTGTAAAGCTGTCTACATGTTTCGGCCGCTATGCGATCATCATCAGGACAAATTTTATTTTGGAAAAAAGCATCTTGTCCTGATGACGGTCGCATAGCGGCCGAAACATGTAGACAGCTTTACAAAAAGTCTTTGTGTTGTTGAGATTCCTTTTTGTTTTATTAAGTTACTAATATGAACAAAAATCAGGAATACTATTATTCAAATGCATGAAATTTCAATGTTTATTCTATTAAAATATTTATTAATTAGCCTATTAAAAAAATTTTAATTCTGTTAATTTCCAGTGAAACATTTGTTATTTCCTTGTTAAAATCCTTCTAATTTTCTGCTACAGGTTTTGTTACCAATAAATATTAGTCAATTTCTATAAAAAAAAAATCTGGTACCATGCAAGATTAAAACATGAAATCACATTTCCTATTGAAATTCCATTAAGTTTAAATTAATTTACACAAGGTCAATTATTAATTTCCCTGACTAAAAACATAAATCACAGATATGCTGGTATAAAATTACAACAAGGATTCCTATTGGATGATATGTTTATCACAACATCGCTATGGTAACAAGTGCACTTGACAACAACAGAAGGCAACTCTGTATTACATGTCCTGAGTTGAATGGCTCTGAAATATCACCAAGCACTATATCCAGCCTTGTTGGTATGTTGGGTTGAACTGTGAAGATTTGATTTGTCTCTCCCAAATCCGTGGTTTTTACCTGAAAACAGGAAACTTTCATTCCAGAAGTTGCACAAGAAATATTATAGATACATGTTATACATTTCATTCCTTAGTAATGAATCTCGGGAAGGGGATGTAGGGATGTACACACAAATATATGTAATAAAACACTTATCCTTATCAAGCCTCGAGGAACAAAGTCAAGGTCACAGTTCAGATTTTTAAACATTAGAGGATTCATTCCTCAAGGGAATTCAATCAAACTTCAAACATTCATAAAACACTATCATTTCTCTTACCCTGGACAGGGATATCCACACGTTTTACCAGTGTGAGATTTCCTTATCTCACCCTAGGGTGAGACAAGCTACATGCACTCTGTGCACGTTCTTAACAATTATGTGACATCACTATCTTGACCTAGAAGTGGAACTACTTTTACTATGCCTAATAAGGTCACACACATACTCTAGTTCGTCTGCTATCCCTACAGACATCTGTTGATTTTGTGTATATATACTGAAGCCACTTGATCAAAGTCACTGCTACTATTTTGGGAAAATCGTTAGAACTCTTCAGCAGCTTCATTCCATGACAGATTTCAATCAAACTTCACAATCATCATGAGGCCATAATATTACAAGTTCAAGGTTGTAGGGTTAAGTTCACCATTACTATTACTATTTTTATAAAATCATTTTCAGTTCTCTAGTGGTTTCATTCCTCGAGTGATTTTAATCAAACATAACATAAGGTGGAACCACAAACAGCTTTGTATCATATCTGTTGCTGATGCAGACTGATGTCATTTGGTTTGTGAATTTTTGAAAATGAATAATGGTAACCTTGCCAATGACATGTAGACTCATCCAGGATATTGTCATAGTAGACCTTTTTCAATGGGTGTGATGGTGTGATAGATTTGAAATGGGACAGGACTGAACTAAATTTCATAATTCTGGACACCCTACCATACAATGGTGAGAGCATGAAATTAAGTTTACTATTTCAAACTGCCTTTAAATGCTGTACAATTAAAACTCTACATATTTTCAGATTATTTGAATTGCATGACCTTCAATATATTTATTTCAAAAAACATTTACACATGATACATATAAGTTTATACTTTCAAGACAGTGAAAAAACACTGACCCATCACTCACCATAAAACTGGTTGCAGGACAGCAGACATTCAAAGGGAGACTACTCACCATAATTGTGTAGTTTCCAGGAAGTAGAATTCGCCAATATTCGCCTTGTGCTGTTGTTGTAAACTTGATGTCTTCGCGTCCCATAATACAAAGTTGCGCCCCCTTGACAGGTGTCCCATCTGCTTTCTTTACCAAACCCCGGACACCTTCACAGAAATGCTGACATTACTTGAAATAAGAGACCTGTACAGCCTGTATTATCTCCAGTTTCACTTTGGCCTTATGTTTTAACTAAGGGTATGTCTAAGCTCACATCACAGGTACGTCTTAGGTAGCACATAGTCTTAATTCTGACACAAAGTATAATGTGTAAGGTAGCATATAACCTTAACTCTTACACAGATCACAGGTATAATGTGTAAGTAGCATATAACATTAACACAAACACAAGTCACAGGTATAATGTGTAAGGTAGCATATAACCTTAACTCTTACACAGATCACAGGTATAATGTGTAAGGTAGCATATAACCTTAACTCTTACACAGATCACAGGTATAATGTGTAAGGTAGCATATAACCTTAACTCTTACACAGATCACAGGTATAATGTGTAAGTAGCATATAACCTTAACTCTTACACAGATCACAGGTATAATGTGTAAGGTAGCATATAACCTTAACTCTTACACAGATCACAGGTATAATGTGTAAGGTAGCATATAACCTTAACTCTTACACAGATCACAGGTATAATGTGTAAGGTAGCATATAACCTTAACTCTTACACAGATCACAGGTATAATGTGTAAGGTAGCATATAACCTTAACTCTTACACAGATCACAGGTATAATGTGTAAGGTAGCATATAACCTTAACTCTTACACAGATCACAGGTATAATGTGTAAGGTAGCATATAACCTTAACTCTTACACAGATCACAGGTATAATGTGTAAGTAGCATATAACCTTAACTCTTACACAGATCACAGGTATAATGTGTAAGTAGCATATAACCTTAACTCTTACACAGATCACAGGTATAATGTGTAAGGTAGCATATAACCTTAACTCTTACACAGATCACAGGTATAATGTGTAAGGTAGCATATAACCTTAACTCTTACACAGATCACAGGTATAATGTGTAAGGTAGCATATAACCTTAACTCTTACACAGATCACAGGTATAATGTGTAAGGTAGCATATAACCTTAACTCTTACACAGATCACAGGTATAATGTGTAAGGTAGCATATAACCTTAACTCTTACACAGATCACAGGTATAATGTGTAAGGTAGCATATAACCTTAACTCTTACACAGATCACAGGTATAATGTGTAAGGTAGCATATAACCTTAACTCTTACACAGATCACAGGTATAATGTGTAAGGTAGCATATAACCTTAACTCTTACACAGATCACAGGTATAATGTGTAAGGTAGCATATAACCTTAACTCTTACACAGATCACAGGTATAATGTGTAAGGTAGCATATAACCTTAACTCTTACACAGATCACAGGTATAATGTGTAAGGTAGCATATAACCTTAACTCTTACACAGATCACAGGTATAATGTGTAAGGTAGCATATAACCTTAACTCTTACACAGATCACAGGTATAATGTGTAAGGTAGCATATAACCTTAACTCTTACACAGATCACAGGTATAATGTGTAAGGTAGCATATAACCTTAACTCTTACACAGATCACAGGTATAATGTGTAAGGTAGCATATAACCTTAACTCTTACACAGATCACAGGTATAATGTGTAAGGTAGCATATAGCCTTAACTCTTACACAGATCACAGGTATAATGTGTAAGGTAGCATATAACCTTAACAAAATCTTTGCCCATAGCTTCAAATAACTCTTACGAAAACCATAACAAAACAATATTTTAATCCTCTTGTTTCATATACCAAGGGTAATTACAGAGATGGAATATCGGAAAGGGATTTAAATAAAGTTCTTTAAACCATAGATTTATATCTATACCTATTTATACCTATGTCCTGTTTATACCATCTCCATGAATCCTACATGTCCATTACACAGGGTTAATAGGACATTGTTACCCTGAAATCTACATACAATGTACTCATGGTATTGGGATTTTAGTACAATGTCACCCCACTGACACCCTGAAATATACACTATCATTGCAGGGCTCTTGATCTGCCAGATTTGGGGCCGATATTCGGTTCCATTCCCAATGCAAAATAATATCTTTCTAAAGAAAAAGCTGCTGTTTTTCCCAATTCTAAGGGCCCTGGGCCCCAGTCCCAAAATGGGGTGTGAAAGCCCTGCATTGTATTTAATTATTAGTACATTGTTACCCTGAAACCCATAAAATTGGGTTATTTGTACTTTGTTACCCTAAAGCATACTAACCTTTGGTATTGGGTTATCAATATAATGTTACCCAGAGAGTTAATACTTCATGTAATTTGGTTATTAGGACACTACTACCCTATAACCTACATACCCATGACATTGGATTACCAGTACATTGTTACCCTAAAACCTACATACCCATGATATTGGGTTACTAGTACATTGTTACCCTAAAACCTACATACCCATGACATTGGGTTGTTAGGATATCACAGCCCTAAAACCTACATACCCATGATATTGGGTTACTAGTACATTGTTACCCTAAAACCTACATACCCATGACATTGGGTTGTTAGGATATCACAGCCCTAAAACCTACATATCCATGACATTGGGTTACTAGTACTTTGTTACCCTATAATCTATATACCCTTGATACTGAGTTACTAGAACTTTGTTACTCTATGACCTACATACCCATGTTATTGGGTTATTAGTATATTGTTACCCTAAAACCTACATAGCCATGGTATTGGGTTATTAGTACAATGTTACCCTAAATCCTACATACCCATGACATTGGGTTATTAGGACACCACTACCCTAAAACCTACATAGCCATGGTATTGGGTTATTAGTACAATGTTACCCTAAATCCTACATACCCATGGTATTGGGTTATTAGTATATTGTTACCCTAAAACCTACATACCCATGACATTGGATTACTAGTACATTGTTACCATAAAACCTACATACCCATGATATGGGGTTATTAGTACATTGTTAACCTAAAACCTACACACCCATGACATTGGGTTACTAGTACATTGTTACCCTAAAACCTACATACCCATGACATTGGGTTATTAGGATATCACAGCCCTAAAACCTATATACCTATGACATTGGGTTACTAGTACATTGTTACCCTAAAACCTACATACCCATGACATTGGGTTATTAGGATATCACAGCCCTAAGACCTACATACCTATGACATTGGGTTACCAGTACATTGTTACCCTAAAACCTACATACCCATGACATTGGGTTACTAGTACATTGTTACCCTAAAACCTGCATACCTATGACATTGGTTATAAGTACATTGTTACCCTAAAACCTACATACCCATGACATTGGGTTATTAGGATATCACAGCCCTAAAACCTACATATCCATGACATTGGGTTACTAGTACTTTGTTACCCTATAATCTATATACCCTTGATATTGAGTTACTAGAACTTTGTTACTCTATGACCTACATACCCATGACATTGGATTACCAGTACATTGTTACCCTAAAACCTACATACCCATGATATTGGGTTATTAGTATATTGTTACCCTAAAACCTACATACCCATAACATTGGGTTATTAGGACACCACTACCCTAAAACCTACATAGCCATGGTATTGGGTTATTAGTACAATGTTACCCTAAATCCTACATACCCATGTTATTGGGTTATTAGTATATTGTTACCCTAAAACCTACATACCCATGACATTGGATTACTAGTACATTGTTACCATAAAACCTACATACCCATGATATGGGGTTATTAGTACATTGTTAACCTAAAACCTACACACCCATGACATTGGGTTACTAGTACATTGTTACCCTAAAACCTACATACCCATGACATTGGGTTATTAGGATATCACAGCCCTAAAACCTATATACATATGACATTGGGTTACTAGTACATTGTTACCCTAAAACCTACATACCCATGACATTGGGTTATTAGGATATCACAGCCCTAAAACCTACATACCTATGACATTGGGTTACCAGTACATTGTTACCCTAAAACCTACATACCCATGACATTGGGTTACTAGTACATTGTTACCCTAAAACCTACATACCCATGACATTGGTTATAAGTACATTGTTACCCTAAAACCTACATACCCATGACATTGGGTTATTAGTACATTGTTACCCTAAAACCTACATACCCATGTTATTGGGTTATTAGTACATTGTTACCCTAAAACCTACATACCCATGGCATTGGGTTACTAGTATATTGTTACCCTAAAACCTACCTACCCATGACATTGGGTTACCAGTACATTGTTACCCTAAAACCTACATACCCATGACATTGGGTTACCAGTACATTGTTACCCTAAAACCTACATACCCTTGACATTAGGTTACCAGTACATTGTTACACTAAAACCTACATACCCATGATATGGGGTTATTAGTACATTGTTAACCTAAAACCTACATACCCATGACATTGGGTTACCAGTACATTGTTACACTAAAACCTACATACCCATGACATTGGGTTATAAGTACATTGTTAACCTAAAACCTACATACCCATGACATTGGGTTACTAGGACATTGTTACCTTAAAACCTACATACCCATGACATTGGGTTACCAGTACATTGTTACACTAAAACCTACATACCCATGACATTGGGTTATTAGTACATTGTTACCCTAAAACCTACATACCCATGACATTGGGTTACTAGGACATTGTTACCCTAAAACCTACATACCCATGACATTGGGTTACTAGTATATTGTTACCCTAAAACCTACATACCCATGTTATTGGGTTATTAGTACATTGTTACCCTAAAACCTACATACCTATGACATTGGGTTACTAGTACATTGTTACCCTAAAACCTACATACCCATGACATTGGGTTACTAGGACATTGTTACCCTAAAACCTACATACCCATGACATTGGATTACCAGTACATTGTTACCCTAAAACCTACATATCCATGATATTGGGTTACTAGTACTTTGTTACCCTATAATCTATATACCCTTGATATTGGGTTACTAGAACTTTGTTACACTATGACCTACATACCCATGACATTGGGTTACCCTAAAACCTACATACCCATGTTATTGGGTTACTAGTACATTGTTACCCTAAAACCTACATACCCATGGTATTTACAATCATCAGGTAATTGATCATGGCATCCTTGTTCTCCGTCCAGAAACTTGGTAGTTCTGTATGTTGAGGATACTTGCAGCAACTCTGTTCGATAGTGACCTCCAGACATCCAGCGTGTACATAATTGTAGTCCTGCATTCCTCCTGAAATACAAAAAATTAAATGAAAAAAGGTATTCTGATTTGAATGAAATGTCGCGCAAAAATACTTTAGTAAATTCTGACACCTCTTTACAGCAAAGTTTGAAGAACAAAATAAATTTAGAAATTAATGTCAAGTTATCTTCATTTTCCTGGTTTTCTGAAAAAATTGTTACAGTTTCATGAGGATTTTGTTTTTACCATTTGGAAAGATAGAATAATATCAAGAAATAGCTATATTTAAAAACATGTAAATATTCCTCCCTAATCTTTTAACTAAATCTGTTAAAAGGTTCATGAGATATCTTGTGCACAAAAGTGGTCAAGAGTGACCATTGACCTTTCACCAATATACCTCCTTCTTCCTGAACAAAGGTTGGAGGGGGATAATTATTTCAGTTCCATAGCTTCTAGCTGTTAAGAAATCCAACATTTTGAAATATTAATTTGATCATATCTGTTTTGAAGACAAATATTGTTTTCAATATGAATTTACCTCTCATAGGATACCACATAGCTCCATTAGTGATGCCATCAGTAAAAGTTTCACCACAAAACCCTCCTTGGTACATCCGATGATGGGAGTAACTGAATACCTTTGATATGTGCTGAAAAATATCGTCATCTGGACTCGGCACAAGCTTCGTTGCCAGAGATAATGATGCTGCAGGACCAATCAACAAAGAAATTACTTTAAAATGATCAATATACATTGTATAATCTCATTGTAGCTGTGTGTGTTGTTCTGCAAAATTCTACATGACTTTTTTGTGCTTTGGACAGTCTACCCAGCTAAATAAATAGCTATAAAAATGTAGGAAGGCATTTGATTGGCCCATGCACATCAACAGTATATCATTAACATATGAAGCCAAGATTGCAAGACTACTCTTAAAATGCCAAATTACACCTAAATTAATGGTAGGAAAAAAAAGGTTTGATTCATTCAACTGTTCTTAAGTTACTTAATTATGACCTAGATTTACCAAATCCTATTTTGATGGAAACAGGTGCATACACAATGTCAAACCAAAGCCATACGGTTGCAGTGAACTTCTTCAAGGTGTTTAGGTAGAAGAAGATACATCAGAAGTTGTATGACTGCTGTACCTTATGTATAGAGGGAGTAGCATGAAAATTGTAACAGACAAATAAATGGAGAGACAGACAGAAAAATATCCTGTTAGCTGTCTAATGGCTGAAAAATACACCCAATGGGTTTCAGATATCCTAAACATTAGAAGCTGGAGGTTTTTTCTGATTATTTACCTCCTGCATAATTATCATAAGGGTAGTTAACCACCAGTGCCCCTCCATGGAGATTTGCTGAGAGGATAAATTGGTACTGTGACAGCCAACTGATGACAGCCTTTGTCTCTGGCTGTTGTTCAAGGTCATTGAATTCAAATTTGTCCGGAAAATTGCGATTCAGGTCAAACATGTTGCTGTTCGCTCTGTAAGATACCATTCAGAGTTTATACACAATTAGAGCTGTGGTCACAATCAAATAAAACTTATTAAGTTTGTAATCTAGAGTTACTTCCCTTGTAGGGGAACTCGTCTCTCTATTTGATGGTATAATATTGCCTTAACTCATAAACAACATTTGCACAACTTGGGGTTCTTAGTTTGATCCCGTTTGGTTTTTTTCTTTCAATTCGTTTACTCTTGTTTTCAAACACACATATATTGACAAAAAGCTGAAAGGATTTAAATAGTTTTACTGTTTTACGTTTTACTGTTTTAACAAAAGGTGAAAGTAAAAGGGATATAGTTTTCACAGATTTTGAAAAAATGGATAATAGTTTTTGGCTACTACAATAATAAATAAGTTTTTTTTTTTTTTTTTTTTTACATTTTTTCAGTTTTAAACATTGAAGTATACAAATATCAACAAAAGCACAAACATCCATAATAATAAATAAATGTAATTTCATTTTGAAGAAGCCCTTGCAAAAAAGAAGTATGAGTTATAGAGATCATATGTATTTTGTCCATTATATTGATCTGTTTACATACTGAACCATAGTGACATTGATACATCAAATAGCACTTCACAAATTCTGTCAACACAGTAGTTGACATAAAAGAAAAAAAAAATCTAAAAAACAAAACATGTATCAAATCAAAGAAAATAAAACATCAAGATAAACAGACCTGCCAACGTTCCCTGCACAACTTCCTTCAAATGAGGCCTCAAATCCATCAGGATTCATCGTTGGGAGAATGTGTACCAGTGTGTTGTCGAGGAAGGTTCGCAAGGTACTATTGGTGGCATAATTCAACACAAACTCTTCAATAAGGTGCAACAACACCTCCCTGCCAACAGGCTGGCAACAGAATCAGGACTGTGTTAACAATTTTTGTTATAAATGATACAAAACATGCATGCTTTGATTTTTCTCTTTACAATTAGTGTGTTACTACAGTGGATGACAAACTGACAGCTTCCATGGTGGAAAATGAGTGGGTACCTCACTAAACACCATAAGGGAGGCCCATCGCATGCCATTTACCACAGCAATAAGGATAAAATGTCTGGCCCAAGGCCCTAACCAAGTGAGCCCAGACTGTTTTTCAGCTTCTCGAGAAACACAAACTGCCATGGGCATTAAGTGTCAAACCACACACCATGGATCTTCAAATGAGGTTGAGCAGGCCAACTAAGGTAAGGCAGAATGAATTCTATGATAAAATGTTGACAAAGAAATCAACCAAATAATAAAGAAATAATATTTATGTCTCCCTCTTATCATAACTGTAGCTATAGTACTGTTAACAGTACACAGTCAAATTGGCTGTTCCATCAGTAGGGACACCTCTAAATAACTGTAGCTATAGTACTGTTAACAGTACACGGTCAAATTGGCTGTTCCATCAGTAGGGACACCTCTTAATAACTGTAGCTATAGTACTGTTAACAGTACACGGTCAAATTGGCTGTTCCATCAGTAGGAACACCTGTTCATAACTGTAGCTATAGTGCTGTTAACAGTACCCTGTTAAATTGGCTGTTCCATCAGCAGGAACACCTGATGATAACTTTAGCATTAATACTGTAAACAGTACAGGGTTAAATTGGCTGTTCCATCAGTAGGAACACCTGTTGATAACTTTAGCATTAATACTGTTAACAGTACACGGTCGAATTGGCTGTTCCATCAGTAGAGACACCTCTTAATAACTGTAGCCATAGTACTGTTAACAGTATACGGTCAAATTGGCTGTTCCATCAGTAGGAACACCTGATGATAACTTTAGCATTAATACTGTAAACAGTACAGGGTTAAATTGGCTGTTCCATCAATAGGAACACCTGTCGATAACTTAAGCTTTAGTAGTAATGTAAACAGTACAGGGTCAAATTGGCTGTTCCATCAGTAGGAACACCTGTCAATAACTGTAGCTATAGTGCTGTTAACAGTACCCGGTCAAACTGGCTGTTCCATCAGTAGGAACACCTGTCAATAACTTTAGCATTAATACTGTTAACAGTACAGGGTCAAATTGGCTGTTCCATCAGTAGGAACACCTGTCGATAACTTTAGCATTAATACTGTTAACAGTACACGGTCGAATTGGCTGTTCCATCAGTAGGGACACCTCTTAGTAACTGTAGCTATAGTACTGTTAACAGTACACGGTCAAATTGGCTGTTCCATCAGTAGGGAGACCTCTTGATAACTGTAGCTATAGTACTGTTAACAGTACACGGTCAAATTGGCTGTTCCATCAGTAGGAACACCTGTCAATAACTGTAGCTATAGTGCTGTTAACAGTACCCAGTCAAAATGGCTGTTCCATCAGTAGGAACACCTGTCGATAACTTTAGCATTAATACTCTTAACAGTACAGGGTCAAATTGACTGTTCCATCAGTAGGAACACCTGTCGATAACTTTAGCATTAATACTGTTAACAGTACACGGTCGAATTGGCTGTTCCATCAGTAGGGACACCTCTTAATAACTGTAGCTATAGCACTGTTAACAGTACAGGGTCAAATTGGCTGTTCCATCAGTAGGAACACCTGTTCATAACTGTAGCTATAGTGCTGTTAACAGTACCCTGTTAAATTGGCTGTTCCATCAGTAGGAACACCTGATGATAACTTTAGCATTAATACTGTTAACAGTACAGGGTTAAATTGGCTGTTCCATCAGTAGGAACACCTGTCGATAACTTAAGCTTTAGTAGTAATGTAAACAGTACAGGGTCAAATTGGCTGTTCCATCAGTAGGAACACCTCTTAATAACTGTAGCTATAGTACTGTTAACAGTACACGGTCAAATTGGCTGTTCCATCAGTAGGAACACCTGTCGATAACTGTAGCTATAGTGCTGTTAACAGTACCCTGTCAAATTGGCTGTTCCATCAGTAGGAACACCTGTCGATAAATTTAGCATTAATACTGTTAACAGTACCCTTTCAAATTGGCTGTTCCATCAGTAGGAACACCTGTCGATAACTTTAGCATAAATACTGTTAACAGTACCCTGTCAAATTGGCTGTTCCATCTGTAGGAACACCTGTCGATAACTAATGACTGATTTTGTTAAGCGAAGTTAAACATTGTATAACAACCAATGTTTAGAAATTGTCCATATCAGCATTTGATTGCATTGTTATTGTAGTCATAGTCAATAGGAATGATTTGCTGGCAAATATTGTATTTTGTGTGATTATTTGCTTGCAATGCTTTGTCACTAATGATGATTAATCAGTCAAACATCTTTACCTAGAGAACCCAATGGGAAAACTTTGAGATAACCAAGAGTTTGAAATAAGAGAGTTTGAATGTTATGTGTTAGGTTAGGCAGGGACAGACAAAATGATTCAAATTAAATGAGGTTTTCAAGTTATTCGAGACTGAGATAATGAGGTTCGACTGTAATACAATCCCAAGGCAGTTTAAAGTTGGATTATAATGATTTTGGGTTACAATACCAAGTGATACAAGAAGGATGTTGATGAGCCAGTCAACACATCAACAAAGGATCTCCAAATTCTAGACACCTACGGTCTTAACAATGACAGATCATTTGCCAAGTACAAAGACATTCCTCTCTAATTTTTTAAAACATTAAGTACCCCTCTTTTATATTAATTCTTTAGGCAGGTTTCACCCTTCATTCTTTTGTGGGGTTCCAAGGACTCGCAGGTCTTGGAATCGGGGACCCCATTCTCAAAATCGGGAATTCTTTCAAAATTTTCGGTGTAGTTCTTTAAAAGTATTTGCTTAATAATGACATTTTAAAACATTTGAAATATGTCATCCTTACCTCATTGCCATGCATGTTACCAACATACTTAACATGAGGTCGCAAGGTCACATGGCTTTTAGGTGACTTTCCAATGGCTAACACCCAGAGGTCACGACCTAAATTGACAAATTTTTACATATGAAATAGAAACATAAAAAAGTACATATTAGATTAGTAGAAGTAATACTTCTGTTTAGATATTCTGAGTAAGAAACGTTTCATTTCAGTTTTTTTATTTTCTGAAAATGTAAGAAAATACAAAACCTCTAATTCAAAAGATATGCTTGTTACAATATATTAACATTTATTTGTAATTATCTAGTGAACAGAAATAACTATGGGTGGGTTTATTACCAAACATGAGCTGAAAGACAGAATAATACATTTAGGAAGTACTTATAACATTTTCTATAACTTGTCTAAGGTAGTCAGTATACAAGATTTTCGGTTTCCACAGGTAAACAAACCTTCAATGCTTTGACCGATGCTGTATAAATGGGTGATTTCTGGGTAGTTTACACTCAAGTTTTGTAGAAAGACTGACATCGCAGGGTGTCTATGATATGTGAAGTCCAAACTTGTTACCATAGACAACGATACCATTGTCATGGCAACCATGATGACCCATCCCAGAGGGGCACTCCACTGCATATTCTAAAGAAGAAATAAATGTAAATTATTGCACATTTTTCCAAAGACAATTTTGGATTGTTTTAATAACAATCTGCAAATTCCGACTCCTAAAACATAACACTGATGATATGAGACTCAATACTTTCCTTCTAACAATTACAAGAGTGTTCCTAAGGCTTGTAATTATTTTTTCTGACAAGAAATTGCATCATTGTAAAAAATATTTCACATTTTTTTTCAAATAATTAAGCAAGACCCTTATGTTAGCTTACCTCCTCTACACACAAGTATTTCCGTCCTGGTCTAAGCTATCTGACAAACTTAACAGACTAATCCTTTATATTTATAAAGTAAAGTTCAAAGGTTAAGGTCATATGACCTTTAATCTAAATTCATCTGCTGCTAATCAACAATTTCAACCAAACATCCCCTTGTATCAAAATGGAATAAACTGTATCACTTCAATCACAGAACTATTTTGGTTGGATAGGGTAATCAGGATAATGTCCATTTCCAATGTTGGTATCAAGAAATGCTACATCACCATGGACCATGATGTAAAGATTTGTCAGCTTATCAACAGCACAACTGAACTATAAGAAATTCTTTTCCTTCTCATTAAAGATATTTGATTTATTTTCAAAGAAATTAGTTTTCAACATAAATCTTTTTCAAACAGTACAAAGAAAATTTGGATCAGAATGTTTACAAAAACATGTAATATGGAAAAACTGGCCTGTTTTTTAATAAAATATTAATAAGACTACCAGTTGAACTGCTAATTTCCTTGTCCTTGATAGCTTACTGGGAGATTTCTGAATTGGCAAGTTGTTTTAGTGAAGTTACTATTTTGTGTCAAAGTCACATCACTAATAGTTAGGATACTAACATTGAATATTTGAAAACCTTATGGACTGGAATATTTGTATACATATTCCTATGATTTCTATGTGAAGATCAAAGAGCAATTTCTAAACATGGTATAAAAATAAGTATATCAATCTTTCTTCAGAAGCAACAAAACAATTTAACTTGACTGATTGATAAAGACTTTAGTATTAAACATATTTCATCATCACAGCTGAACAAATTTTACAAGATTCAAATTTCACAAGGTCCAAAGTTAAAGGTGTGGAAAATGAAATAAAAAGCACTTCATAAAAGTCAATTTTGAGAAATATGACAAAACAATGCTAGGTATAAGTATTGTGCCTCATTAAGTCTCCCTGTGGAATGAACAGAGATACAAATATCATTGTTCTTCTGCTTCTGGCTCTGGTTCTACTTACAATTTCTTCACTGGCAATACCTTCTCATCTGTTAAAGATACCTTGATAAAACTAGCATCAGTTAAAGCTGATATCGACAGGTCACTGTCACCATGAACTCAAGGTCAAAGGTAAAAAAGTGATTTTTTTTTCCCCCAAATAATTTCTTGTCTAGGCGATATTTTTTGAAGTGTTGAAAATATTGTAATGAAAGTTGCTGCACACTTTTATCAATCATTGACACAGTGAAGTGCTCTATCATTGGATCACTTTGACCTTGATCTCTGTCAAAGGTCAAATAAATAAAAAAAAAAATCCAATAATACTTGTCTGTGATGATAATTTTTAAACTGTTAATGATATCTTAATGGAAGTGCAGTGCTATGTCACTGGATCATAAACGAGTGCACAGACAACAAATATGAACATCAAGGGACATGAAAGAGTCTTCTCAGTGCACATCTTGAAGGGCATGGAAAAGGATTATTTTGGGGGCATCAGTTGTCAGATTCCAGTACCACAAACAGAACATGCGAAGAGGAAATGTTTGTCAAACTTTTCAAAACCTGAACTAAATAGAAGTTAACTAGTGTCGTTACACCTTTAAGTTAATAACATAATTATCTCCCTTTTCATTGTTTATTGTATATTTTGTTGTAATTTTGGAAGTATGACAGTAATAAACAAATTGCCTGAAAAACATTTGCGAAACAAATTCTTTTTCATGCCATTATTGCCTGTTTACTGGACCATTTGATGAATTTTGACGGATTTGACCATTAACCTTGTAGTCAAAGTCACAATGACCCAATGACAGAGCAGTGCACTTTGTCAGTGAGTGATAAAGGTATACACCGACTTCCATGAAGATATCTTTAATCAGAGACTTACAATATTCCAAGTCCATGTTTTAACAGTTTAAAAAGTTATTGCTCAGACAAGTATAACTATTGAGAAAATTCACACTTATTCCACCTTTGACCTTTTTGATGAAATTTTATTTTGAGATTGGAAGGTCAAGGTCACCAATCCTAGTTATAGAAATTTGCCAAACATAAATTAATTTATGAATGAGAGCAGAGGCATTCATGCCTTACCAAAATTTTGAGAAAACAAAATATGAATGCAGTTTTTATATTGGCAGTGAAAACTCTCACCTTACAGACCTATTTTACATGTAAAACAGTATAATTTTACTAAATTTTACTCTGGTTTTTACTCTGGTTTTACATGTAAAACAGTATAATTTTACTAAATTTTACTCTGGTTTTACATGTAAAACAGTATAATTTTACTAAATTTTACTCTGGTTTTTTTATTCTTACTGAATTTCCTTCTTTTGGCCTCACTTTTGGCACATAATTAAATATTTATGAAGTTTAATATAAATTCCACTGACCTATCATTACATTAACTACAGACGGTTAAGTATCTGGATTTTGGAAAACAGTAGCAATAATTGAACAGTCAGAATACAATTTATGACATTAATGCACAAGGATTTATAGGTCAAGTGGACAGTTATTGGCTTAATGATTTATCATAAATATTTGAAGCACCATTCTGGTATTATCTACAAACATAAGAGATAAAATTTGCAAATAACAGGGAAACTAGTTTTCATGCCTGATAAATTTACTTGATATATCTTAGTGTTATACTTTTATTGTATGTAAACATTGTGTTCTGTCCTCATTTTGATTTCAAGTTTGATTTGTTTAATATCTTTATAACATTCTATCAATTTCTATGGTTACATAAATGATTCACCATTCTTTTTATGAGTTTTGTAGCCATTCTCTTCACTTTTCTTGTCCCAGTAACTTGTATGTAAACAATATTACGGAAGCTGATTGCCTCCGACATTACATTCAGTAACAAGACTTTGTACAGCCTAATACTACTTGTTTATTTGTGGTTTCATGTCTTCGTTAGCAACTCAGATCACATGACACCAATTATCAGAATACTAATTAGCAACTTCAAAGATCCATGGGGAGTCCTTGAACACTCACCACATTGATCAGCGATAAAATGTAAAGTTTTCTCATCAAAATTTATAGAAATAGACCCATACTTTCTCTCATATATTGTCATGTTCTTGGTAATAGGATGGATTTTAGAATCACAAATTTAAATGTTGTTGATGATACTGTATATAAAAAGGACAAGAACTTCCAATAAATAATTCACATTGTTGTTTTTAATCTCTCTAAATTTCGCAATAGATATGGAGTCCCCTCCAGTACCCACCCCATTACCTCCCTCTAACAAGAATACTGAAATTCCTTACAAACAAATATCGGAATTAAATGATGGACTAATTATCAAATAATAAACAAATAATAACTGATTCAGGAAATGAAACCAGTTTACAAAGCAAAGATATTTAAATGTAGAGTTAAGGAATGACCCGGGGATCTTAGAAATGTACAGACCAAGTGAAATTTCTTACATGACCCGGGGATCTTAGAAATGTACGGACCAAGTGAAATTTCTTACATGACCCGGGGATCTTAAGAAATGTACGGACCAAATGAAATTTCTTACATGACCCCGGGATCTTAAGAAATGTATGGGCCAAGTGAAATTTCTTACATGACCCGGGGATCTTAAGAAATGTACGGACCAAATGAAATTTCTTACATGACCCCGGGATCTTAAGAAATGTATGGGCCAAGTGAAATTTCTTACGTAATGTCATTCATTTAGAAGTGGTATGCGACTCTCAACCTTGACAGGCTTTCCACCAATAATATACAGTAAGTAAAACATATGTATATATGTGGTATAGTCTGAATCAAACTTCTAAAAACAGTGAATTTGAAATCTGTAATGTGTTTTAAATTCAGGAAATAAACAAAAAAAAATTTTGGCAGTTAATGCATGAAATTGATTACATATATAATAGATGGTTGATCAATTATTGTCCATTCAATCATCAATTTTCAAAGTGGACCTATCAATATTGAAATTTCTGTCCTTTTTCTCTTCAATAATTTCATACTTAACATGGACTAATCAAAATTAAATAAAAATATACACACCTATGTAATCACATTTCCAGAAAATATTTAGAATACAATACTAATTCTTTCTAATTTTTCTGATGGTCTACAATAGCCTATTTTAACCTCAGTGAAAGATATGATTGGACACTCCCTTCCTCTGGCAGTTTGTATTTCTCAAGAAGATGAGAAACAAACCAACCTTTGCTGTTTTAGCTGTGTTCTTATACAAGAAACTTTACTTTAACTGTCCTGGATAAAATGGCATTGGTCTCTAGCATGTTGTTCAGTGCAGCATCCAGCAACAAACTACATGGTGACCTTGCCTTAAAATGCTATTCATGGGGTAATAAACCAGTGAAAATTTTTTTTTTATTATTTTAGATAAAAATATTGGAACTGTTTCCATGGTGATATTTCATTCAACAAATATTACCAGACACAATATAACTCCAATTTTCAGCTCCTGTCTTGAGTATTTGGATTCTTAAACAATCCCTCTAAGTGATGACTAATGTCAGGATGTATGATATATGTCCATACTAATGCTCATGGTAAATTTACAAAATCAATGACTGTTAAGTTTCCCTACAGGAGCACTTTGTAACTACAGCCCATTTCAATAGATGCATTTACTCAGAATTCACTGACATGGCAGAATTTTTTATAGCTAATTTGGGAAGCACATCAAAGCCAAAATCAGGACAAATTATTACATAAACAGTGAGACACAAGAAATTTAACTGTAGTTAGTGCAAACTCCTATAAAATTAGTAAATTCAGATTTTTTTATGACCCAAATGTTATTGACATAACACTTTTTAGTTTCCAGAGACCCATTTCCCTTTAGAAATTGAAATTAGATTGCAAATACCATATTCATTAAAACTAAATCCTTTCCTTCCCCACCTTTTTTTTAAATTTAGATACTGCAAAACTATAAAGTTTCATGTAGGAACTATTTTTCCTGGAATTCATAGATACACTAAATCCATGAAATTTTATGTCCACGAAAATGATGAACAGATGAAAAAGTTTATTTTTGGATTATAATACAAGGCAATTTTGTAATCAAGATTTATCTACAATATCAAGTATCTATGAAAATATGCATTTCTGGAAAACCATGAAATTTGAGCCCCATGAAAATACCCGGTATATGATTTTACAGCCAAAGGGTTTGTTTAATTATTTATGTATCTGATTTAATTACATCAATATCAAGACATTTTAATGTGTACTTTCCTTAAAATCTAATTTTGGGAAATAAAGCAAAGACATTGTACAGGTAAAAACATTTGAAGTTTGCATTTACATAAAATTTATAAAAGTTATTCATTAAATATGTCTGCAAATCTGGAGAGATGACACATAGTAATCTTCACAATCTGATACAAAATGCTTCACATTTTCCCCACAATAAAACTTTATGACAAGTTTTCTCTCTATTAAAAACTTTCTTTGAAAAAAAATTGAAATATGTTTTGGAAATCTATTATATACACAGTTTCTTTTGAAAAGATTTCTTGTTTTTTCTTAAGAAAGAAAACACACATGACACACATATAACACACACACAAGATATTTCAATACTATAGTGATATTTGCACAGTGAAAAAAGTATTCGCAGTGATCTATTTTAACAAAAAAAAATAGCACGGGCCTTAATTACAGTAAATATGGTACTCATCATTGCTTGTTGATAATGAGTGTACATTAGAAGGCAGACGGTTTTCAGTTCATTAAGCCATTTGACATACTGAAAGCTGCACAAGGTTAAAAATTACTCCGCTGTGTAGATGTTTTCTAATGCATTTCACAAACTGTCAGGAGATCCTTGCACACAAAGCTTTCTGATCCCTAAATCTCCATACTTCCAAACAGCAAACATCCAAACACAAGAAATGGAAGACAGGGCATTTAGATAAATATCTAAAATTCATTTAGCTATTAATACAAAAAAACCCTTACAAGAAAGATCAAATTTTAAATCTTTCAAGTTAATTTAGGCATAATTAATCAAAAGGCGATAGTTACCAGTGCGTTTTTCTATGCCTTTGATATTATATTTTTCCAATATATCACCTTTTCAAAAAAAAATTCTGAAATTTTAATATTCAGTTATCTAAAAACAAAAACAAACAATGTTTTTAGTCCATTTTAATAATTCAGTATATGCAGTGATATTCCAAGGTAAAAATCTGTACAAATATTACTTATTTAAATAAATGATCACATTTATGCGTTACGAGAGAAAGATGATAAAACGGTTCGTTTCGCTTGAGGGCAAAACGGTACAAAGATAGTACTATTATAAAGGGGCCCACGATGGGGTTTAAACCATACCAATCTTTCGTTTGAATGCTAATAAGAAATTCCATTCCTAAGTAACACTCTCAGAATGACTTTCCATGAACTACTTTGTATTTCCTGTGTGTTAAATTCGTCGATTAATTTCAAGAATTATTCTCAATGTTACTGTATTTAGATAAAAAGGCTTATTTGAAAAAACAAGTTGCTTAAAGCAATTAGAATAACAACTATCTCTCTCGTCTTTTACAAATTTTGCCCCCTTATAAATTAATAATTGATTAATTAATTACATTTTACTAATCAATATCACAGACAAACAACATCTCTATGCGTGTCTCTCGTTGTATATTGTGATAATTTACACACCAATTTGTAAAAAAATTAACTGTTACACTACACCGCTGAATTATATAGACAAAGTCTCAGGCATTTTTTCCCAAAACGTCAATATATTTCTAGATTAAACCTAAAATTGAAACAAAATATCCTTCCTTTATAGAATTTCTGTTCTACATTCTTCTGGGACCTCTTCTATCGGACACATTTCGCTGTGGGCAAATAGTGAAACTAATCGCTCAAATTCACTACGTGTGTAAAAATAACGGAATTTTGTGCAAATCTTACCTTAATGTTATAGGATCAAATGAGCAGACTCCCTTGTTACGATAGCACCCGTGTCTAGTACATCCCAAGGGAGCTTTGTAGTCCGCTGCTGTGTTTTACAAACAGGACTTCCGCAGTGTCGGCTCTCTTCACGATGTGTTGTTACTCACTAACCTCTTCCATTGCACGCTCTTCATTCAAGTCAACCTAGACCAGATTAGTCCAATTTTCGTCCAAGGGGTAGCAGGTTGATGATTCATCTCGTCTGCTTTCTATCTCAAGATGAAGAGGCATTACTTCATGGTTTTTTTCTGTCAAATTCGTATTGTTTTTTGCATGACGCTTGCACGAAAATTTAACTTGGAATTCACATGCGTAAATATTTGTTTCATTGACGGAATGAAATGCCTCTTAAACAGTCAATTAATGTAAAAATTGAATTAACATGCACGTGCGATTTAACTGAGTGTAAAAGAGTCAGGCAAAAGTGTGATACCAAAAGATTCACGAACTGTTGTAATACATACAGAAATATGCGAGGTAACGAATACCTATGATTTTAATTACGACACGTCCAAACCGTTTGTTGATGACAATTGTGTTTCTTGGAGTGAAATCCTCCCGCGATGATGTGTAATTCGCATTTTTTGATATTGTGACTGAACAGATGGAATTAAATGAGGAATTTTCAGTTTTTAATCTGTTTCATTGCGATATAAACTATTATTTATATAGAAATAAAAACAAACAAAAAGTTATCATCATAATTCTTGTTTCATCGTGGAAATATTCTTTACTTGACACCAATATCACACATGTGATATATACGTCTCTGATGACACGTCTTCGCAACAATCAAGAGCTGAATCGAGCTAAAATTCGAAAGATTTTGACATACAAGCTCGCTCATCCCATCCTCGATACAGTCACTTTCGCTCTCTGCAGCGCTTTATCATGTCATGACAAAACTGAAGGTTTCATGTGCGAAACCTTGTAGATAAGACGGAAAGACTAGTTTGATCCTTGACGTACATCAAACGAATCTCGGGGTCGCATAACCGTATATTGTAATGGCTTTAACTTTGTAACGTTCAAAAGGAGTGTATCAGCTTCTGATTGGTCATTTTTGGAACCAATCAAATTACTTCGCTTTTGCCTTCCATTTTGCCGTGCCATGTTCCAGGGATGATAGTAACCCATGGAGTATCGAGGATGCCTTATTTTATGTCCGTCAGGAGTGAAACTCAATTTTAGGTTGGGTCACGACTTTAGAGTCATGAACTGGTCAAATCTTGTTTCATGTGTGCCAAACTCCATTACATTAGTCCCCTCCGCAGTGCTTCATGCTTGAACAAATACTATTGTGGGTGGCGCTGTGGTCGGGGTTCGATTCCCCGAACGGACTTTCTCAGATCAGCTGACCTCTTTGATTACGAGGTTTTGTGCAGACGACATCTCGTCTAGTCTCCCGTTAATCGGGTGAACGAGATTATCGAAACTTGCACAAACAACGGAACTCATCTATGTTGTTCCGGTGTTCAACTGATATGACAGATAATGTATCTTTATGGAATATTTAATGATGGAAATATTGTTTTCTTAATAAATCAGTCTTTATTCCGCCTTCATAACTCATAGATTCATTATGAGATGATGGAGATACAGACAGAAACTCCCGAACCCCAGACCGGACGTGTGGGACAGACAGCCATCTGAAATAAACCCGAAAACAGTCAAAACAAAATATTTAATGTTCGTGATCAAAACAGATTTCAAACCTTTTAATTGTAAAAGAACCTACGGATCCGTATCTCTGTAGAACCCTGAAAAGTTGAATGTCATTGTAAGTTACATGGTAACCTATCATATCTAGTTACTAGGAAGCCCGACATACATCTAGTCTCTAATTGTAAACTAACCGCTTGTTTGTTTATCTAGTTACTAAGCAACCAGATATATATCTAGTGTGTAGTTACAACGAAACCATTTGTTTATCTAGTTACTTAGCAACCGGATATATATCTAGTGACTATTCATTTTTATATCGTGTTACTTATCACTACATTTGTATATCTCGTCAGTATAGCTACATTTTATATGTAACTTAATGAACATGTGCATTACATGTCAAGTTATTTAGTAGCAATATGTACATATATCTAGTCTAACGCCTGTGCTAAGTGACGGACAAAAGCTGCGTAGTATCTAATTCGGTTCTCACAGGCGCCAGCCTCGTCAGTAAATTTCCTCATATCAGTAATATTATGAATTTATTAATGAACGAAACTAGTACCTGATCTTCCATCAACTATAACTTACCCTTCATAGTTTTCTCGCGAAGAATCTTCCTCATTGTAGAACGCTCACTTCTGAAAATACATTTTGTATAAGTTTACAGAGCGGCATATTGATATAAATATTTTATTTTTAAATTCAAACGAAATTTAGTGAGATTCATAGACATGCCACAATATTTGTTGTTTAAGAAAGAAGATAACTGAGTAAGTTGTTTGAAACCCACATTTTACATACAAGCTTCACCGCTTTCCGCTGACTTTTACACATATATTATTGCATGTGAAAAATACTAATGCGGAAAAAAAGTCCTATAAATCTACCTTTCTGTAAAGATGCTGCTGTGATACCTAGGTGTAAAGGACAGTCCTATATATCTACCTTTCTGTAAAGATACTGTTGTGGTACCTAGGTGTGAAGGACAGTCCTATATATCTACCTTTCTGTAAAGGTACTGCTGTGGTACCTAGGTGTAAAGGAGTCCTATATATCTACCTTTCTGTAAAGATACTGTTGTGGTACCTGGGTGTGAAGGAGTCCTATATATCTACCTTTCTGTAAAGATACTGCTGTGGTACCTAGGTGTAAAGGAGTCCTATATATCTACCTTTCTGTATAAAGATACTGCTGTGGTACCTAGGTGTAAAGGAGTCCTATATATCTACCTTTCTGTAAAGATACTGCTGTGGTACCTAGGTGTGAAGGACAGTCCTATATATCTACCTTTCTGTAAAGATACTGCTGTGGTACCTAGGTGTGAAGGACAGTCCTATATATCTACCTTTCAGTAAAGATACTGCTGTGGTACCTAGGTGTGAAGGACAGTCCTATATATCTACCTTTCTGTAAAGGTACTGCTGTGGTACCTAGGTGTAAAGGAGTCCTATATATCTACCTTTCTGTAAAGATACTGCTGTGGTACCTAGGTGTAAAGGACAGTCCTATATATCTACCTTTCTGTAAAGATACTGCTGTGGTACCTAGGTGTAAAGGACAGTCCTATATATCTACCTTTCTGTAAAGATACTGCTGTGGTACCTAGGTGTGAAGGACAGTCCTATATATCTACCTTTCTGTAAAGATACTGCTGTGGTACCTAGGTGTAAAGGAATCCTATATATCTACCTTTCTGTAAAGATACTGCTGTGGTACCTAGGTGTAAAGGACAGTCCTATATATCTACCTTCCTGTAAAGATACTGCTGTGGTACCTAGGTGTAAAGGAGTCCTATATATCTACCTTTCTGTAAAGATACTGCTGTGGTACCTAGGTGTAAAGGAATCCTATATATCTACCTTCCTGTAAAGATACTGTTGTGGTACCTAGGTGTGAAGGACAGTCCTGTATATCTACCTTTCTGTAAAGGTACTGCTGTGGTACCTAGGTGTAAAGGAGTCCTATATATCTACCTTTCTGTAAAGATTCTGCTGTGGTACCTAGGTGTAAAGGAATCCTATATATCTACCTTCCTATAAAGATACTGTTGTGGTACCTAGGTGTGAAGGACAGTCCTATATATCTACCTTTCTGTAAAGATACTGCTGTGATACCTAGGTGTAAAGGAGTCCTATATATCTACCTTTCTGTAAAGACACTGTTGTGGTACCTAGGTGTGAAGGAGTCCTATATATCTACCTTTCTGTAAAGATACTGCTGTGATACCTAGGTGTAAAGGACAGTCCTATATATCTACCTTTCTGTAAAGACACTGCTGTGGTACCTAGGTGTAAAGGAGTCCTATATATCTACCTTTCTGTAAAGATACTGCTGTGGTACCTAGGTGTAAAGGAGTCCTATATATCTACCTTTCTGTAAAGATACTGCTGTGGTATCTACGTTTGAAGCAGCCAGTCTTGGTATCCGGCCATTGTAGCGTCATTTTGATCCAGTCCTTCTTCAAGAAATCCTCATTACCGAGGGTTCCACACAGGAGAACTGTGGAAACATATAGAAAGAGGTTATATTTTACTTGCAAAGCTTAACTGACATTTCATGTTGTTTTTTCTAATACAAATCTTTTTCGACTTAAAAAAAATTCTTTTATACACTACATCGCCCAGTGTGCGTGGTAAATCAACTCAAACCCAGGAACTCTACAAATCGGTGGTTCCCTGTGAATTTTTGTTGCCAATATGAAATCTACCGAAAATGTTCGGTCTCTTCCGACAATTGTTGAACGGATAGAAACTTTGAGAGTATAGTGTTAAATCTGACGACTTATCGATGAGACCTCGACGAATTATTTGAGTGCGAAAATGTGTTTACTATAATCAATATCTAATGTCAATCTTTGTCACGTGATAAATGTCAGCAGTATCCGTCAATCAAAATAAAATATTTCTATTGTCAGACAATGAATACATGACCACGTGTTAAGCCCGCCTACGAAACTGATAATTGTCTTCGAAACGGTCATGCGCAAGTCTCCATGCTTTGGACCCGAAGTCGTCTGCAAAGGTAGAAGTGGTCGCCATTTTTAAAAATTGTATTAATGGCGAGAAAGGACAGATTGAATGTGGAGTAAGTGTACATTCAATAGTTACGTTATTTTTGTTCAGATATTTAAGTCTACATTGTTTAAATTACTTTCGAAACAAGACGTGTTTGTGAAACAGTATGCCCCCGGTTACAACAAAATTTCAAAGTTAAACATTAAAATTGTACAGTGTAAGGTATGTGCAAATTGAATGTACTCTTTGTGAAACACGTATGTATTCGTTGTGGTAATGATTTTTTTTCACTTTCAAATATAGGTCAAAGGTCACGGTAAAGGTCACATGGTCAAAAACGTTGGTATCATCAGAAAAGTCCTGCCACAAGGAACACACATGTCAAGTATGAAAGCCAAAGCTCTTATGATGCAATAGTTATGGCCAACAGTAATTTTTTTTAATGTTGGTCAAGGGTCACGGTCAAGGTCACATGGTCAAAAATATTGGTACCTCCAGAAAGGTCTTCTCACAACGACCACCCATGCAAAAAATGAAGTATTACCTCGGAGCAATAATTACGGGCAAGGTTAAAGTTGACAACAGAAAGACAGCACAAAAACAACACAAAAACAACACAAAAACAACACAAAAACAACACAAAAACAACAGAAAGACAGCACAAAAACAACACAAAAACAACACAAAAACAACACAAAAACAACACAAAAACAACACAAAAACAACACAAAAACAACACAAAAACAACACAAAAACAACACAAAAACAACACAAAAACAACACAAAAACAACACAAAAACAACAGAAAGACAACACAAAAACAACACAAAGACAACACAAAAACAACACAAAAACAACAGAAAGACAGCACAAAAACAACACAAAAACAACACAAAAACAACACAAAAACAACACAAAAACAACACAAAAACAACACAAAGACAGCACAAAAACAACACAAAAACAACACAAAAACAACACAAAAACAACACAAAAACAACACAAAAACAACACAAAAACAGCACAAAAACAACACAAAAACAACACAAAAACAACACAAAAACAGCACAAAAACAGCACAAAAACAACACAAAAACAACACAAAAACAGCACAAAAACAACACAAAAACAACACAAAAACAACACAAAAACAGCACAAAAACAACACAAAAACAACACAAAAACAACACAAAAACAACACAAAAACAACACAAAAACAACACAAAAACAGCACAAAGACAACACAAAGACAACACAAAGACAGCACAAAAACAACACAAAAACAACACAAAAACAGCACAAAAACAACACAAAAACAACACAAAGACAGCACAAAAACAACACAAAAACAACACAAAAACAACACAAAAACACAAAAACAACACAAAAACAACACAAAAACAACACAAAGACAGCACAAAAACAACAGAAAGACAGCACAAAAACAACACAAAAACAACACAAAAACAACACAAAAACAACACAAAAACAACACAAAAACAACACAAAAACAACACAAAAACAACAAGCCAACGATCTTTCGATCAGATGGCATAAAAATGTTGTTATTTGATTTGTTAATGAGAAAGCTTCTTCAGTGTTTTAGTTGACACTAACTCTACCATCGTCCTCTATGAAATATATGAACTACACTTTTATCAGGAAGTGTCTTTTTCAACTCAAAATTAGATTTCCTTTTTTTTCAAAGCATTGACAGCAGTCCATTTATCAGAAAATCCTAAATTGTGACCGGGACCTGCGAAATATCAGACGGTGGCCATGTAAGTTTACATGAAGTTTACTTCATGTATGTGCCCACGTTTTGATCCGTTTATAAAACGAAACTGTTTAAATAGCTGACGCTGATACTTCCATTCGCAGTTAACAAAATCCTACTCAAACCTTGAGATCACGATTTTATAAACAAAAAATATGATACAGCCTAATGCATGTTTAACCTTTAAATGCGTGGATTACGTAGATAAGTGTATTGTCTATCGATAAACATATCGAATCGCAGATTGTAGAAATAAATAGACAAAATCTATCCCTTTGAATGCATACCTCTCTCCAGAAACAAATCCTTTTCGTGTTCCATGACTTTGCCGCCAGAGGTCGCTCTGAGAGCCTCCTTGTAAATGTTCGTGCACAAAGACTTCTGGAGTTTAGTTACTTCTTTGTCTCCTAGAAATTCCTCTACTTTTTCCCGACATTTCACCTGTATTGATTTTCATAAATTTTTATCATCGAAGTTAGAGAAAATAATGATTCAAGAAATAAGCGATTCCACGACGAATACTCAGTGAGTTGCTTTATATCAAATTGATTCGAATTATATTTTCTACGTTGCACTGAATTTGTTCTGTTTTGTTTTTTTTTTCTCCGATAAGATTCAAAATTAAAAGGGCGCAACTAGGGACCAAAGGAAACATTCATATGCAGTTTGAGAATGGTCCATCAAGTACTTCCCAAAAAATAGCGATAACAAATTTCCATAGTCATAATCTAAGATGACCGCCTCTCAACCATTTTGTTTTCATGATCAGTCCCAATATCTAAAGATTCCATCTAGGGACCAAGAGGTACCTAGAAATGAAATTTGAGAAATATGTACACACTATCTCTCAAAAAATAGCGATAACTTACGTTCAGTCAAAAATCAAAGTAAAGCTACTTATAAAGCTTGAGAATGATCTATCGAACACTTCCCCAGAAATAGCGATAACGATTAGTCTTAAAATCCAACATGGCCGCCTGTCGGCCATGTTGCTCTTCGGATCAATCCGAAAATATGACAATTCACAACTAGGGACCATTGCGAAATTAAATATAAAAATTTGAACAAAGAGGATAGGCTGATGATTCCCGGTCATCTGACTACAAGTGAAAAGTGAAAACGACAATTTAAGTTATGCAATATTAATGAACGTTAACATGAAACATAAGAAACATAAATGGCCATAATATATTCATGACTGGTTACCACCTCCACAAAGTAATATATTACCTACGGATTTTCCCTACCGTTTAGGCTGGATACAATTTTATTTAATTTGTTAGAAAACTAAAGACATGTAAACCAGATGTCCTGGATTCCTAGCGGAACTAAAGAAAAAAAGAGTTCCATTTTCTCGGTAGAAATAAGAAGTCGTTCTACATATACATAAATATATTTTGTAATATCCCAAATATGAAATTCTTACTGTTTCCATGACGATGAAGTAAAGTAATTGATGAGTTGTGACATATCCAGATGTTCCCTTTGACGTCATCATGTCAACACAGTTTTTGGTGACATTGCATTTACCGATACGGCTGTAAAAATAAATATAAATTGTATTAAATCATAATTTGTTCGTTCTGCACATCGAGTTCTCTAAAATTTTGGCCATCTCTCCTCGAATTCAGGTTCAAATGCATCTTGTCAGTGTGTGTGAACGCGAGCATTTTGTAAATGTTCTTTCTCGTCTATTTCAACCACAGACCAAAGATAGTGATTTTATCTATTATAACGACATTGGTAGTGAAACCTTGCTTTCTGATGACCCTACTATTAACAAAGATCATATTAATCCGTGACATTCAAAATATGATAATCTGTGAAAATGTTTGTTCTTTTTCATATTAATATCACATTTAAAAAGGGACCTTTTTAGCGCAGCGGAAGAAAATCTATAATTTGTTGTGAAGAGTCACTTGCGGCTGTTCCACTTATTAAATCCACTCCCATTAATGACGGACTTTTCCGGAGTTATTATGTCACGTACTTACAAGGATTGCTCCATGTAACGAAATCATTGATAATATATACGATTTGAGATGAAACGATATCATTAAGTATAATAACACTCATTTGGCAAATTTGTCTCGTCATACAGCTACATCAATAACACGTGACTCATCATCAACACCATCATCATCATCATTGACGTCACGTGACTCACCCGCTTTGATTTAAACATATTTTATTTGTACAAAGTATACCTGGGCACAAGTTTTCTTCTATATAAAGCCCTTTCCTATAAAATTTTACATAATACATATTAGCAAAACAAGACGACATGTTTAAATACAATTATAATATCCGAGAGAGAGAGAGAGAGAGAGAGAGAGAGAGAGAGAGAGAGAGACACAGAGAGAGAGAGAGAGAGAGAGAGAGAGAGAGAGAGAGAGAGAGAGAGAGAGAGAGAGAGAGAGAGAGAGAGAGAGAGAGAGAGAGAGAGTTTAAATAACTTCATGTAAGATACAAACAACACGTAAAAATACAAAAGCTTTTCATAACTTTCAAACTTTTTACAGTTCATCACATACGGCAAAGCGCTTTCTTCGTCCTTCATAAAAAAAAAAAAAAAAACGTCACCACTTGTGACCGCAAGTGATGTCAGACGAGACATTTATCACGGAAAAACGAGCATGTTTGATCAAAATCTGTTTGAATTAAGTATATATCTGAGTGATTTGACATATTTTTACATTATCTTCATACAACTGGCCTGTAGGAGTAACTGCAGGTCTAGGGGATAAAATTATTAAGTTTCCGACGTACAATTTGAAGTTTTGAACACATATACAATCACACAAGTCCTCCGGACCATCGTTATACCTCTGTGATCATACACGATCTTTCTGGGTCTCGTTATACCTTTACCTCTGTCAGCACACATGCTCTCTCTTTATACCTCATTGATCACTTAACCTTTGATCACAAAGCTTTCCCGGTTATCGTTATACTTCCGTGACCACACAAACCCTCTATGACCCTCGCTATACCTCCGTGATCAAACAAGCCCTCTCTGACCCTCGCTATACCTCCGTGATCAAACAAGCCCTCTATAACCCTCGCTATACCTCTGTGATCAAACAAGCCAAGCCCTCTCTGACCCTCGGTATACCTCCGTGATCAAACAAACCCTCTCTGACCCTCGTTATACCTCTGTGATCAAACAAACCCTCTATGACCCTCGCTATACCTCCGTGATCAAACAAGCCCTCTCTGACCCTCGCTATACCTCCGTGATCAAACAAGCCCTCTCTGACCCTCGCTATACCTCTGTGATCAAACAAGCCCTCTCTGACCCTCGCTATACCTCTGTGATCACACAAACCCTCTATGACCCTCGGTATACCTCTGTGATCAAACAAGCCCTCTCTGATCCTCGTTATACCTTTGTGATCACACAAGCCCTCTCTGACCCTCGGTATACCCTTGTGATCAGACAAGCCCTCTCTGACCCTCGGTATACCCTTGTGATCAGACAAGCCCTCTATGACCCTCGCTATACCTCCGTGATCAAACAAGCCCTCTCTGACCCTCGCTATACCTCTGTGATCAAACAAGCCCTCTCTGACCCTCGTTATACCTTTGTGATCACACAAGCCCTCTCTGACCCTCGCTATACCTCCGTGATCAAACAAGCCCTCTCTGACCCTCGCTATACCTCCGTGATCAAACAAGCCCTCTCTGACCCTCGCTATACCTCCGTGATCAAACAAGCCAAGCCCTCTCTGACCCTCGGTATACCTCTTTGATCAGACAAGCCCTCTCTGACCCTCGGTATACCCTTGTGATCAGACAAGCCCTCTATGACCCTCGCTATACCTCCGTGATCAAACAAGCCCTCTCTGACCCTCGCTATACCTCTGTGATCAAACAAGCCCTCTCTGACCCTCGTTATACCTTTGTGATCACACAAGCCCTCTCTGACCCTCGTTATACCCTTGTGATCAAACAAGCCCTCTCTGACCCTCGTTATACCTTTGTGATCACACAAGCCCTTTGTGACCCTCGGTATACCTCCGTGATCAAACAAGCCCTCTCTGACCCTCGCTATACCTCTGTGATCAAACAAGCCCTCTCTGACCCTCGGTATACCCTTGTGATCAGACAAGCCCTCTATGACCCTCGCTATACCTCCGTGATCAAACAAGCCCTCTCTGACCCTCGCTATACCTCTGTGATCAAACAAGCCCTCTCTGACCCTCGTTATACCTTTGTGATCACACAAGCCCTTTGTGACCCTCGGTATACCTCTTTGATCACACAAGCCCTCTCTGATCCTCTGTATACCCTTGTGATCACACAAACCCTCTATGACCCTCGGTATACCCTTGTGATCAGACAAGCCCTCTCTGACCCTCGTTAAACCTTTGTGATCAAACAAGCCCTCTCTGACCCTCGGTATACCTCTTTGATCACACAAGCCCTCTCTGATCCTCGTTATACCTCTGTGATCAAACAAGCCCTCTCTGACCCTCGTTATACCCTTGTGATCACTCAAACCTTCTCCAACCGAAGTTATACCCGAGTGATCAAGATTTCTGCCATCCCCGACCATATCTCTCCAAATCTATCATAACTGTCGTCCCTTCATACCGCAATGACGCGTACCTCTCTTATATAATGCAAGTTTTTATTCTCCAAAATCTGATATTGCTTTCCTCTGTTTGATTTTCCCACAACTTTGTCACCAAATTGAATATGTACATCAATTAACCATCATAAAACATCGCCTTTATAATCTTCTATACATTTGAAATAGACATCAAGTGATGATCTCCGTTCTCGAAATTAATTGTGCCACCGTGATCAGCATCACAAATAATTTCATGACTCAGACTGGCCCTACTCGAGCCTTACATCTCCTCTCGTGACACACTCTGAATTCAACAGCCATCCTTCCAGATTTTTAGTGTTGTGTATACAATATGAAATCCCCTTTACCTTCTCCAACCCGAAGTCCGAAAAGTCCGTCAACGTTGATACTGCTATAGTCCGCACTGAAAAAGTCCAACAATCCCTCCGTGACATCTAACGACCACTTTAGGAGAGAACGGTCGCCGGTAGAGGGCGTGGCAGGCACCAGGGTGATGGAAACATATAAAATGATTATTGATAATTTCATAACCATAATTGAACACGTCTGTGTATGTCCACGACTCAAAGGAGATAAGAAATTATCGTTGACAGCTGCGGAGCGATAACACAATAATCAAGGACGACAACTCGACAACATGCTCTATACATGAGTGTTAGTTCTACAAACTTTACTAATCCTACAGTAGTTGTTATGCCAGCTAGTTATGTGTGCGCAGAGTATGATAATTCAATATATTAGACATAGTTGTTGTTATGTCGTGTTAGTTTATAACGACTTGGTGTGTTGTGAATTGATTTTGACAAGTAAATTTTTCAACGACCAGTGACACCTTTGCATTTCCGGAATTATTGTTCTCGCATTTCCGGGTTCAGAGTAACGAATTCGAATCATTGTCCAGTCTATTATCTCTTCTCTTTTCACTTGAAATGAAGCTCTTGGCATACATTAACAAGTTTTTCTTGTAGCTATTTATCTTGAAAGTATATTTTCTGGTCAAATTAATGTTTCTGTCAACATGTAAAATTTTGATGACTGATTGAATATTTTGATATTTTTAACACATAACTTGTATGAAATGCATAATTTACATACCGGGTGACGTCATAATAATACAGTAATAAAGCAAAATATCGGTGTGGGAAAAGGGGTGCGTTAAAATGATATCGACATATTAATACATACAATTTTCAGTTGAAATATATTCGACCACAATGTTCATGTTATATTATCAACAACCGGACTTCCGTTCCATGTGTCACAGCTTCTGCACTCTGGAACGATAATAACCGGTCTACTTCCTATGTGTACTGACCAACCATAACTCCCGTGGAGCTGCTAATCACAACGACTCCTGCAAAAGATGATGTGATGAGGCTGTTATGAAAAACATGCCATTGTGCATTTGATTATTATGGGATGTTAAAATTGGACTGTAAAACGTCGCAGGAAAGCGATCGTTGGTGAAAGCGAGAGCGACGTCCACCGATACTGACCATCGTTAATAGGTAGAAATAACGCTTGATACTTATTTTCTCCATATATGAAATACCATAGACGTTTCGTCCAAAGTGTGACGCAATATAGTGATATTAATATAGATTATCACGCCAAACGTGTTTGGAAGTCTTCTCGTCTAACACAAAGTCCAACATGACATCCGCCTGATTTGTTTCCAGGTAGTGACAACAAGTAAACCTTATAGACTTCGGAAGGTCATGATCAAAAGATATTTAAAAATGAGTAAATGATGAACTAGACACTGACGATGACTTGCTTTTAGGTTTGGGCTTCGTGTCTGGGGAAGTGCCTTTTTGCTATAGGGAAGTAGTTCACTCATATCATTTCTTCGTCACAACGCGATAATCGATCCAGTTGTGACGCGCATGTCATCTCCCAGTCAGTGGAGGAGAGTGCGAACAGCGTCGTCAACAACTTAACATGGATACATATCGTCTGTTCTCCAAGTCTTTCTGGGTGAGTATTTATGCTAATACTTCTTTATTGCTTCATATAATTTACTAAAATCTTTTCCGTTTCCATGAAAACTATTTCTGTAATAATCATATCTTGGTATTGAAAAGTTAATTACACTTTTCTGAATATTTTACACCAGTTTCAATTTATTACAAACGGAGGGCGATGATCAAAGGCGATTAATGAAGAAAACATCTGAATTCAACTGTCGTGGGGTGGAGTTGGGGTGGGGTGAAGGGCAATATGGATTCCCTTTTGTCTCGTCTGGGTGCAGTATTTTTCATTCTTCTCGTTATTACAGTATAGTAGAAGAAAACCCACCAGGTTAATGTTGACAATCTATTCACTACATTAATGTTCATTGTCATTATTTTGCTTTCGTCTTGTGTGTCTGAGAAAAATCCATGTACTGTGCTTAGGATCACCAACCTTCGAGTACTGTTGTCTTCAGATGTACTGAACACAGTCATTGTTCATTGTCTTCAGATGTACTGAACACAGTCACTGGTCATTGTCTTCAGATGTACTAAACAGTCACTGGTCATTGTCTTCAGATGTACTGACCACAGTCACTGTTCATTGTCTTCAGATGTACTGAACACAGTCACTGGTCGTTGTCTTCAGATGTACTGAACACAGTCATTGTTCATTGTCTTCAGATGTACTAAACACAGTCACTGGCCATTGTCTTCAGATGTACTGAACACAGTCACTGTTCATTGTCTTCAGATGTACTGAACACAGTCACTGTTCATTGTCTTCAGATGTACTGAACACAGTCACTGGTCATTGTCTTCAGATGTACTGAACACAGTCACTGGTCGTTGTCTTCAGATGTACTGAACACAGTCACTGTTCATTGTCTTCAGATTTATTGAACACAGTCACTGTTCATTGTCTTCAGATGTACTGAACACAGTCACTGGTCATTGTCTTCAGATGTACTGAGCAGTCACTGGTCATTGTCTTCAGATGTACTGACCACAGTCACTGGTCATTGTCTTCAGATTTACAGAACACAGTCACTGGTCATTGTCTTCAGATGTACTGAACACAGTCACTGTTCATTGTCTTCAGATGTACTGAACACAGTCACTGATCATTGTCTTCAGATGTACTAAACAGTCACTGGTCGTTGTCTTCAGATGTACTGAAAACAGTCACTGTTCATTGTCTTCAGATGTACTGAACACAGTCACTGGTCATTGTCTTCAGATGTACTGAACACAGTCACTGGTCATTGTCTTCAGATGTACTAAACACAGTCACTGGTCATAAACACTGGTCATTGTCTTCAGATGTACTGAACACAGTCACTGTTCATTGTCTTCAGATGTACTGAACACAGTCACTGGTCATTGTCTTCAGATGTACTGAACACAGTCACTGGTCATTGTCTTCAGATGTACTGACCACAGTCACTGGTCGTTGTCTTCAGATGTACTGAACACAGTCACTGGTCATTGTCTTCAGATGTACTAAACACAGTCATTGGGCTTTCCTATTTAATGTATTGTTTTGTGGGTACCCTGATGACATCCTTTGCTACCCTTTCCATCTTTCTGCCCTATGACTAACGATTAGTATACCTTCCAGATTAAACATGATCAAGGTTTACGTGGAGATTGTATAAAACACATACAAGTGAATAACATCGTTATACTATCATTATAACGCGGAGACAGGCGACTCTTTTATCCATTGTATTCTTTGTCAATGCTTGCCACGTAGTTTAGTCTGTTTACAGGTTTGCTGTCAATATTACTTCCTTGTCAATGCTTGCCACGTAGTTTAGTCTGTTTACAGGTTTGCTGTCAATATTACTTCCTTGTCAATGCTTGCCACGTAGTTTAGTCTGTTTACAGGTTTGCTGTCAATATTACTTCCTTGTCAATGCTTGCCACGTAGTTTAGTCTGTTTACAGGTTTGCTGTCAATATTACTTCCTTGTCAATGCTTGCCATGTAGTTTAGTCTGTTTACAGGTTTGCTGTCAATATTACTTCCTTGTCAATGCTTGCCACGTAGTTTAGTCTGTTTACAGGTTTGCTGTCAATATTACTTTCTTGTCAATGCCTGCCACGTAGTTTAGTCTGTTTACAGGTTTGCTGTCAATATTACTTTCTTGTCAATGCCTGCCACGTAGTTTAGTCTGTTTACAGGTTTGCTGTCAATATTACTTTCTTGTCAATGCTTGCCATGTAGTTTAGTTTGTTTACTGGTTTGCTGTCAATATTACTTCCTTGTCAATGCTTGCCACGTAGTTTAGTCTGTTTACAGGTTTGCTGTCAATATTACTTCCTTGTCAATGCCTGCCACGTAGTTTAGTCTGTTTACAGGTTTGCTGTCAATATTACTTTCTTGTCAATGTTTGCCATGTAGTTTAGTTTGTTTACTGGTTTGCTGTCAATATTACTTCCTTGTCAATGCTTGCCACGTAGTTTAGTCTGTTTACAGGTTTGCTGTCAATATTACTTCCTTGTCAATGCTTGCCACGTAGTTTAGTCTGTTTACAGGTTTGATGTCAATATCACTTCCTTGTCAATGCGTACCACGTAGTTTTCACTGTTAAAGGCTTACTGCCAACTTATAAATCAATTCAATGCGTGTCACCGTGTGTAGTATATTTACAAGTTGACTGTCAATGCTACTTCTTTTTCAATGCTTGCCATGTAGAGTGGTCTGTTAAAGATTTACCTCATTTTCAATACCTCAATTGGAAGTTTCAAAGCGTATGATGCCATTCCTACCCACGAAACTTACATATCCTCGTGCAATGTCGTTTCCTTAGGCAAGACTGTTTATTTTGTGCTGAATAACGTGCGGTAGGTGTATCTGATGTCCAGTAATGTGGTTTAAAGTTGCTACAGAAATAACTTTAAAAATGGCCCGAGCTGTTCACAGGGCGACAAAACAAACGAAATTGTTATCAATTGTGTCTGACGAATGAGGAGGGTTTCCGTATGACCAGACCAGTAACAAATATGATAGGGTGTTTCCTTCAGTCGTTATTGGCCTGCTTTGCACGTGCGGATTGATTAAATCTTCATGATAATTATGACTTTTTCTCTTATTCATGTAATAAATATCATCATCACCGAGTATTATAAGTTTATGTATAGGTTTGTTTTTCTTGGAATTTCCGTTATAAGCTACAGTGCCCTTGAATTAAGGATGCTATTTCTTGGAAAACTTTCGGTTTCAGGAACACACAAATTGCCTGTAGTGTCGCGGTGTAATATTTTTTGATATGTATAATGTACTTAATGCCATTGAATGCGGCAATAATTCTTTCAATAGCTTACTTTAGCATTGTGACCAGTTATATTCGCTGTTTCAAACTTTAATACCCTATACAACATATTTTGCGAAAGATCGGTTTTGCGATAGTTAAGCAGATTGTATAAAATTCTTAAATCGTACTGTGAATTTCAGGAATTTGACTTCATTTTTCTTTAAAACATTTGGTAAAACCTCTAAAATTTGTGCACAGTTTATCTTGTTCTAGTTTTAGTAGTTGATATGTGTTAAAATTACTCTCACAGGACTCTGATTTGGCGGGTACGACTGGGTTTGACGCTTTAGTACGAAGACTAAAAGATGGGAGGAAAATGTGCAAAGACCTGGAGGAATATTATCGTCAAAGGTAAGGCATCAATCCCTACGTCAGTAAAACAATCCCCAAGTCAGTATAAAGATCCTCAGGTCACCATAACACTCCTCAAGTCGTCATAACACTCCTCAAGTCACCATAACACTCCTCAAGTCACCATGACAATCCCCAAGTCACCATGACACTCCTCAAGTCACCATAACACACCCCAAGTCACCATAACACTCCTCAAGTCACCATGACAATCCCCAAGTCACCATAACACTTCCCACGTCACAATAACACTTCCCACGTCACCATAACACTCCTCAAGTCACCATAACACTCCTCAAGTCACCATAACAATCCCCAAGTCACCATAACACTTCCCACGTCACAATAACACTTCCCACGTCACCATAACACTCCTCAAGTCACCATAACACTCCTCAAGTCACCATGACAATCCCCAAGTCATCATGACAATCCCCAAGTCACCATAACACTCCTCAAGTCACCATAACACTCCTCAAGTCACCATAACACACCCCAAGTCACCATAACACTCCTCAAGTCACCATGACAATCCCCAAGACACCATAACACTCCTCACGTCACCATAACACTCCTCAAGTCACCATAACACTCCTCAAGTCACCATAACACTCCTCAAGTCACCATGACAAACCCCAAGTCACCATAACACTCCTCAAGTCACCATAACACTTCTCAAGTCACCATAACACTTCCCATGTCACCAAAACAATCCCCAAGTCACCATAACACACCCCAAGTCACCATAACACTCCTCAAGTCACCATAACACTCCTCAAGTCACCATAACACTCCTCAAGTCACCATAACACACCCCAAGTCACCATGACAATCCCCAAGACACCATAACACTCCTCAAGTCACCATAACACTCCTCAAGTCACCATTATACTCCTCAAGTCACCATAACACACCCCAAGTCACCATAACACTCCTCAAGTCACCATGACAATCCCCAAGACACCATAACACTCCTCACGTCACCATAACACTCCTCACGTCACCATAACACACCCCAAGTCACCATAACACACCCCAAGTCACCATAACACTCCTCAAGTCACCATTATACTCCTCAAGTCACCATTATACTCCTCAAGTCACCATAACACTCCTCAAGTCACCATGACACACCCCAAGTCACCATAACACACCCCAAGTCACCATAACACTCCTCAAGTCACCATTATACTCCTCAAGTCACCATAACACTCCTCAAGTCACCATGACAATCCTCAGGTCACCTTAACAATCCACAAGTGAGTCTAACAATCCTCAGGTCACTACATATACGTTCGCAATTGTCTGTGTTTTCACAACGTGCTGATAAAATACATCAAGTTATGTGCAGCTAACCTCGGTTTTGTTCAATCAATACATTTTTTGATGGCAACAACATCACTTACTAGATATCATTCACTTAGCTTCCATTAACTGTATACATCGTTATTGTCCATCCATCATGCGAAATTTCCGGCATTTCTGGAAACTGAGATCGTCAACATGACAGGAGAACCGTGTTCAGTAACACCTCCGGTACATGCCGACTTTACACTGACTTGACGCTGTCGTAAGCATTTTGTTTTAGTCACCTAAGACAAACTCTCTTGGGGACCTGTTGAGACCCCCATTTGTCCGGCATCATCTTTACATTTTTGAAGTCTTCTGAAAAAACCTGAAACCGAATTAAGCAGAAACCTTCCATGATCAAAAGTAAACCAAAATGAGAAATTATATAGTCCCCTCCCCCATGGTTCAAATGCTTAGATCCTCTAAATTGCCTGGGCCTCTAAATTTGGAAGTAGCGAATTGTCTTTGAACATACAACTTAATGAAACATTTTTGAAAATAAAAAGAATCTACATGAAATCTACATTTCGTTTATGTTCATTTTCACGGCGGGAACAAAACATATAGAGAATGAGATGTACATAATATAATACAATATAATTTCTGAATTGTTTAACTTAAATTTATCCAGGGAACTCAATTCTCTGACATTTTCTACGCTATATAGCTGGGTCAGTTCAGTTACAGAAGGAATAGCAAATGTTGAAGTATTTTTTCATTCGCATTATTTCGAAACAAGCAGCTTGATTGATCGTTACAGAGGTAAGATCGAGGCACTGTACGTGAAAGAGTTACAAAAGCTTACACGGAACATGGAGTTCAGAGATGAAAATGGGTAAGTTTTTAAAAAGATATGAACTGAGCTGTGAATGCTGTTCCTTGAATGAGAGTTTGACTGAAAAATCTGTAAATGCTTATCTCGTTGATAAATTACGTAGTTGTCGATCGACAATACTCTGAACTCGTCAGTGATATACATGCACTGTGTAATGTTATTATCCAGTGTATTGCGTTCCGACAAAATGGTTCTAAAATTACCTTTGAAATAGACCGAATGATATCTGAATCTAAGTCTGGTATATATATAATTAAATTTCTAGAGTTAAGTCTATTAGAGATATAGTTATGTTTTTAGAGCTACGCCTAGAGAAAATAGTCATTCTAAAACTGAACTAATTTCAAAATCCATGTACACTTATCCTGTTATGTGTGACCGATAAGATGCTGCGTATAACATTTGACTTTTTTATCATTGACCCGTGCAGAGTGTTGGATGAGTCATGGAACGCCTTGAGAACACAAACGGAAAGAATAACACAACATCACCACACGGCTTCTAACCATTTCACAGCACTGATGTCAGATATGGAACGGCTGAACGAAAATTTGAAAATACGCGGCAAACAGGTATGGTTACAACCTTTCAAATTTGACGTTGATTCAAGGGTACCCCACTCAAAATGAAGTGCGTTCTAGACCTATCAGTATCGTGTGTGCCCCCCGCGAGCTGCAGTAACTGCACGAACTCTTTTGTGCGGTGAATTGATCGGGGTATTAAGCCTCCTCATTGGTATACGATTCCATTCCTCATCCAGCGCCAACGCCAACTGAGCGACGTTGATTGGAGGATTCGGCCTACGTCCTATCCTTCTGTCCAACTCGTCCCATAAACGTTCTATTGGAGAGAGGTCAGGGCTGTATGGGGGCCAGTCTATGGCGGGTACATTGTTTGCTGCGAGATAACCACGGCAAACCCTCGCTACATACGGTCGGGCGTTGTCTTGCTGAAACGTCAGTTGACGCTGCTGTACTAGAGGAATAACATGCGGCGCTAGGACGACCGTGGTATTTCCTTGAATAACGACAAGAGGTGTCTTGATACCATGCGCAACCCTCCCAATAACATGACCGATCCTCCTACAAAGCGGTCATTCTCTATCACGCAAGCATCTGAATGGCGCTCGTGGGTACGTCTATAGACACGACGTCGGCCGTCTGTCTGGTAAAGCGAAAACCTGGACTCATCTGAGAACAGGACCGCTTCGGGGACGGTCTGAAGATTCGCACACACAGATACTGAACCAATCCTTTATACTGGGTTCAAGATGCCATGCTTTTGTCTCTTATTCTTTTGTACAAGCGGCGTGCGCAGTTTAGTTATGCATCAGTGATTTTAATACGGAACCGTATGGACCTAACTCAAATGCACACATTTGTCAATTTTCAAGGGTGTACGTCATTAACTTCCTGCTAACTGCGTTTCTTTTCCCTCTCAGTATATAATTTAGTCCAGAAAGAAGAACTATATGACACTCACTCCACAGTCCTTGTGATTGTCATTTTGTTGTCATTTCCAGATAGAAGACAGAACGACAAAATCTCACAGCTCGGCAAAAAGCTGCTTTACAAAACACAATCAAGTGAGTTGTAGACTAGACAGTCGGTGGAGTTTTTACACTGTGCTGATATGATAACTTGTGTTGATGTAGCGTATTTCAAACTTTGTTGTGTTTTGTTATATAATGTGTTGATGTTTATTCTATAGTATGTTGCTGCGCATTGTGTAGTGTGTTGCTATGCATTGTGTAGTGTGTTGCTATGCATTTTGTAGTATGTTGCTATGCATTTTGTAGTGTGTCGCTGTGCATTGTGTAGTGTGTTGCGTGTAGTGTGTTGCTATGCATTTTGTAGTATGTTGCTATGCATTTTGTAGTATGTTGCTATGCATTTTGTAGTGTGTCGCTGTGCATTGTGTAGTGTGTTGCTGTGCATTGTGTAGTGTGTTGCGCATTGTGTAGTGTGTTGCTGTGCATTGTGTAGTGTGTCGCTGTGTAGTGTGTTGCTGTGCATTGTGTAGTGTGTTGCTCTGCATTGTGTAGTGTGTCGCTGTGCATTGTGTAGTGTGTTGCTGTGCATTGTGTAGTGTGTTGCTGTGCATTGTGTAGTGTGTCGCTGCGCATTGTGTAGTGTGTCGCTGTGCATTGTGTAGTGTGTTGCTCTGCATTGTGTAGTGTGTCGCTGCGCATTGTGTAGTGTGTTGCTGTGCATTGTGTAGTGTGTCGTTGTGTAGTGTGTTGCTATGCATTGTGTATGTTCCTCTGCATTGTGTAGTGTGTCGCTGTGCATTGTGTAGTGTGTTGCTCTGCATTGTGTAGTGTGTCGCTGCGCATTGTGTAGTGTGTTGCTGTGCATTGTGTAGTGTGTCGCTGTGTAGTGTGTTGCTGTGCATTGTGTAGTGTGTTGCTGTGCATTGTGTAGTGTGTTGCTGTGCATTGTGTAGTGTGTTGCTCTGCATTGTGTAGTGTGTTGCTGTGCATTGTGTAGTGTGTGCTGTGCATTGTGTAGTGTGTCGCTGTGCATTGTGTAGTGTGTTGCTGTGCATTGTGTAGTGTGTTGCTCTGCATTGTGTAGTGTGTCGCTGCGCATTGTGTAGTGTGTCGCTGTGCATTGTGTAGTATGTTGATGTGCGTTGTGTAGGTGCATTGTGTAGTGTGTTGCTGTGCATTGTGGAGTGTGTCGCTGTGTAGTGTGTTGCTATGCATTGTGTAGTGTGTCGCTGTGCATTGTGTAGTGTGTTGCTGTGCATTGTGTAGTGTGTCGCTGTGTAGTGTGTCGCTGTGCATTGTGTAGTGTGTTGCTGTGCATTGTGTAGTGTGTTGCTGTGCATTGTGTAGTGTGTTGCTGTGCATTGTGTAGTGTGTTGCTGTGCATTGTGTAGTGTGTCGCTGCGCATTGTGTAGTGTGTCGCTGTGCATTGTGTAGTATGTTGATGTGCGTTGTGTAGGTGTATTGTGTAGTGTGTTGCTGTGTATTGTGTAGTGTGTCGCTGTGTAGTGTGTTGCTATGCATTGTGCAGTGTGTTGCTGTGCATTGTGTAGTGTGTCGCTGCGCATTGTGTAGTGTGTCGCTGTGCATTGTGTAGTGTGTTGCTGTGCATTGTGTAGTGTGTCGCTGTGCATTGTGTAGTGTGTTGCTGTGCATTGTGTAGTGTGTCGCTGTGCATTGTGTAGTGTGTCGCTGTGCATTGTGTAGTGTGTCGCTGTGCATTGTGTAGTGTGTCGCTGTGCATTGTGTAGTGTGTCGCTGTGCATTGTGTAGTGTGTCGCTGTGCATTGTGTAGTGTGTCGCTGTGCATTGTGTAGTGTGTTGCTGTGCATTGTGTAGTGTGTCGCTGTGCATTGTGTAGTGTGTTGCTGTGCATTGTGTATTGTGTTGATGTTTATTTTACAATTTGTTGATGTGTTTTTTAAAGTGTGTTTATGTGTTGTATTATATAATGTGTTTGCCATAGTCATGACAACGCAAGAGTATTTATTAGAATCATCAATGACAGGAGCTGTTGTCCTATACGAAAGCACTTTCCATGTTCGTCAGATTAAGATAATACATCACTTGACCTGAATCAAGTCTTCCAAGCTTCTTCGGTAAAGCTTTTACCATTTCATTTGTTGTAAGAAACTTTTCCTTTGTTATTCTTTCTGTTATAAGATAGATAGTGGTACAGAGTGTCTGTTGATATTGAGGTATATAAAGGTTGTAACGTATATATATATATATATGCGAGGTAGAAAGGATGTTAAAATGTTATGAAATGACTATCTAAAACGTTTACACTGTACTTAGGATGATATGGTGTATATCAGTGGTTGTGAACATAATTCTCGTCAGGTTTTAAGTGGTCAACTTCATTAATTCTTACTGGTGTTGTGGTTCAATTAACGACTGTTATGATGCATTCGATCATCTGTTTAACTGTTTCTATCGTGGGTCGTGTCTAGCTCCAGAAGACGTATGAACAGAAGTGCATGGACTACAGCGCTATTCAACACGACAACAAAAGTAACGACTATGTCGACCCGAAAACCACTCAAAAGGTCAGTCAAAGGTGACGTCACTAACAACACGTGCAGACACTTCAAGTGACGTCATTCAGCAAAACTTGAAATCGTAAAAATCTTATCAACTGCTTGAAAAAAAACATCCTCCCGAAACGTTTATTTCATGTGAAAGTCTGTTGTACAATTATATGTAAGTTATTCGCCGCAAAGGAATTGAAACTAGTATTTTCCAACTGTTTAAGTTTTTGATAATTTTCTTTCAAGAAGAATCAAAAACTTTCCTCTAAAGCAAAAATAATTTTATTAAAAGACTAAGTAATCAATAACGTTTGCACAAATGGGCGTAATTTTGTAGAAATGTTATTTGTTTTCTTTTAGCAAAAAACAAAAGAAATAAAAGCAAAAGATGAAATGGAAAAAGCAGGTAAGATTTTCTTTAAATCAAAACATAATTTCCATTTCTTTTGTAACGTTTGTAATAATGCGCTGTAATTAACTCAACGTACTTCAAAGAGGGTTTATGTTTTATATTCCTTTCATCACGCTTCAAAAACAACAACAAAAAAGTCGCCATTTTAGCGAATATATCCCAAAATTGAAAGAGAGGACATAATGTGAATAAAAGAAAGATTTAAGATGAAACATTCGAAAAGGTGCTTGGAAAATAAGGTGTCACGGAAGGCAGATTAAATACCGTTAGCTTCATTGAAAACACGGACGATGTATGTCGCGTTCTCAAAAGGTTAACCACGATACCATTAAGCAAATGATGGTAACCCCTGGAGTATAAAGGATGGTTCCAGGGGTGCCGAGAGCGAAAGTAATGGTTACCCTTGGAGTATCGAGGATGGTTCCAGGGGTACAGAGAGCGAAGGTGATGGTAACCCCTGGAGTATAGAGGATGGTTCCAGGGGTACAGAGAGTGAAAGTGATGGTAACCCCTGGAGTATAGAGGATGGTTCCAGGGATACAGAGAGTGAAAGTGATGGTAACCCCTGGAGTATCGAGGATGGTTCCAGGGGTACAGAGAGTGAAAGTGATGGTAACCCCTGGAGTATAGAGGATGGTTCCAGGGGTACAGAGAGTGAAAGTGATGGTAACCCCTGGAGTATAGAGGATGGTTCCAGGGGTACAGAGAGTGAAAGTGATGGTAACCCCTGGAGTATAGAGGATGGTTCCAGGGGTACAGAGAGTGAAAGTGATGGTAACCCCTGGAGTATAGAGGATGGTTCCAGGGGTACAGAGAGTGAAAGTGATGGTAACCCCTGGAGTATAGAGGATGGTTCCAGGGGTACAGAGAGTGAAAGTGATGGTAACCCCTGGAGTATAGAGGATGGTTCCAGGGGTACAGAGAGTGAAAGTGATGGTAACCCCTGGAGTATAGAGGATGGTTCCAGGGGTACAGAGAGTGAAAGTGATGGTAACCCCTGGAGTATAGAGGATGGTTCCAGGGGTACAGAGAGTGAAAGTGATGGTAACCCCTGGAGTATAGAGGATGGTTCCAGGGGTACAGAGAGTGAAAGTGATGGTAACCCCTGGAGTATAGAGGATGGTTCCAGGGGTACAGAGAGTGAAAGTGATGGTAACCCCTGGAGTATAGAGGATGGTTCCAGGGGTACAGAGAGTGAAAGTGATGGTAACCCCTGGAGTATAGAGGATGGTTCCAGGGGTACAGAGAGTGAAAGTGATGGTAACCCCTGGAGTATAGAGGATGGTTCCAGGGGTACAGAGAGTGAAAGTGATGGTAACCCCTGGAGTATAGAGGATGGTTCCAGGGGTACAGAGAGTGAAGAGGATGGTTCCAGGGGTACAGAGAGTGAAAGTGATGGTAACCCCTGGAGTATAGAGGATGGTTCCAGGGGTACAGAGAGTGAAAGTGATGGTAACCACTGGAGTATCGAGGATGGTTCCAGGGGTACAGAGAGTGAAAGTGATGGTAACCCCTGGAGTATAGAGGATGCACGACTACTTTTAGGGAAGTTTATTTACAGACTAACCACTTGAAAACGTTAAGAATGTGCGAGCTAAAAACTACTTTTCTTGTCTTTGTTGAAAGAAATATATGTTACATTGCGTAGATAATATAATTACCATGATGTCTGGACTTAAATTGAAGCGACAATACTGAAGTACTCTGTTTTTAATCGACAGATTGTCAATACAGGTCTATAGTAGATTCTCTTCAAAACGCCCAGAGAATTTGGGAGGAAGACATGGAAAATACTTGTGAGGTATGTAAGTGAAATTTTATCGGTATTTTCGGAGTCTCTCCTTTCCGGAGTTTATTTGGCTGTGGTGAGAACGTCGTTACACAGGACTGGCAAGTAACGGAAATGGCTCAAAATCCATGAAACTGGCGAAACATAAAAACCGTTTTTGAAGCGCAATAGAGGATATCCTCTATAGACGTTTTCGCTAAATCAATTGATCGAATGTGATAAAAATACTGGAAATTAGCAAATATGATCAATAAGAAAGAAGGTCAGTCTTCATCGCCTTCATTACTTCGATATGATTGATCAAACCATCCAATAGCATAAACGACAAATGGGATTTACAGTTCAGGTGTTAAATATGTACAGCGAGTCTACAAGACGATATGAAGACCAAATTATTTCGACTTCTCGATGTAACGGATTTTGATATACGTTGTGACGACCACATGGATATTTTGTTTTGAAAAAAAAAACGTTGTTGACCAGTGAGGATGTACGTATATTTATAATCCTAAAACTACCATTACGTTTATGGTGAAAATTAGATATCATTAACAAAAAACATTACCAAACGGACAGACAGACATACACAGATAAAACTTAGTCTATCAACACTCTCTCACCGGTTTACTAGTAGACTTGTGATGTTTTAGAGGTTCTAGCTTTAAAAATCATTGAATACGCTCCTATATTTCAGGTATATCAACAGTTGGACGTTGAGAGAATTGACGTCATCCGTGACGTTATGTGGAAAGGAACAAACGTCGACTCTCAGATGTGTGTAGACCATGACATGGTATGACACCGCTACTTTTTTTATGTGATGAAAAAAATAACGTCTTAAATGCACAATATACAGTGTTGTTTGTTGAAGTCCGGAACCAAGGTTAGCAGAGTGTTTTGTCTGGCTACGACGAAGGTCGGCGTCTGCTCAGATTTTGTCTAGTTACGACGAAGGTCGGCGTCTGCTCAGATTTTGTCTAGCTACGACGAAGGTCGGCGTCAGCTAAGATTTTGTCTGGCTACGACGAAGGTCGGCGTCTGCTCAGTTTTTGTCTGGCTACGACGAAGGTCGGCGTCTGCTCAGTTTTTGTCTGGCTACGACGAAGGTCGGCGTCTGCTCAGTGTTTTGTCCGGCTAAGCACCTCAACAACCGAAGTTTCTTTGACTTTAAACAAGATTACTTACTATATAACACCGTGTTTTTAGGTCATTCAACCAATTTTAAAATTGTACTTTGTGTTTTCAGACATTGTCATTATTCAACAAATATTAGATTAGTTTTGATTAAAGGAACAATTCCGCTAAAAGCTTATTATATATATATATTTTTTTTTTTTTTTGCAGTGCTGTGAATACATACGAAATCTTTTGGAGAAGTGCGTTATTGATTCAGAGATAATTGCTTTCGTAGAGCGGGCAAGAGTGGGAAGTAGGCATCCGGGTAAGTTGTCAAGTACTGATAGTATCTCCAAATTACAACGTGTCATAGTCAATTCAGACGCGAGGCGACGACGGATACGGTTTACTAATAGTCTATCGAATATTATTTGTTAATTAACGAACAATCTAATGAAGAGTTCAAATTTGTCTTGCAGCACATACCGAGTACCAAAATTATTTCGAGAGGAGTCCAAACCCTAACAGAAAAAGACTGCCGCCAGCTCCACCGACTTCAGAATTCAAGGATTCAATTTACCAGACCATTACATGATGTCATCAATTGGTTATGAAACATTTAGCGAGATAACGTTCATCATCCTCAGTCATTATCGAAGGAATTCATTTTTCCGTGATTTTGGAAATGGATTAGAAGATAAACCTTCTTGTTCCTAAACCAAGTCGTAACCAAATCAATGTAAATGGACTGCACAATTTCATTAAAAAACATCACTGTAAACCGTTATAAATCCGAGGGCGAAAAATGAATGCCAATTTATTATTCAGCATGTCTTTATTGAAGAACTGACGGTTATTTGTAATTTTGATTAAAGTATTCCATAATCATTCCAGACAAAGCCCTCCCCATAATCCAAGAACTAATGCAAGAATACCAAGATTTTTCTCTCTTCTTTTACTGTCAATTGCAAAAAAAAAAAAAAAAAAACAAAAAAAAAAAAGAAAAAAAAATCTTTCCTTTCTGAAGATTGTTTTTTTCCTTTATGGCATATTGTGAAGTCTAAATTTGTTGTTTTGATATCTTCACCAAACAAGCACAACAATTTCCATCCTCTGACCGTGACAACTAAAAAAACATTTTGAAGTTTTAAAGTTTTTATTGATAAACTCTGCGGGGAAACATGTGAAAGGCAGGTAACACTATAAACAACATCACAGCTGGGTTGTTACTACCATTAATCTTCCAATGTCTCAAGTAAAATAATGACAAAGTGTGGGTAACAGAAGAACTCCAGTTACTATTAGTCCAAATCATAATTATGCCATAGTGTAGACTGTCAGAAACTTTTTGTCATATCACCTCCCCCTGTTCATTACTTTGTGTTGAACTATAGAATATACCTAAAGATGTACATTTTCTGGAATTTTTTCTGAAAAAGGTCAAGTATTCATTTGTCCATCTAACTAATATCCTTATCAATTCTCAAAAGGAATCTTTAAATAAAAAATGATTTTTACAAAAGAAATTTCATCACACAATAGGACTCATACTTTGTTATAAGATACCTTATTGTGACAAATTTGGTTAAATTGATTTGTAAATGGAAACCTACAAACATTTTCACAATGGGGTTAACATGAATAAACAGTTATTTCTGACAAAATAATACACTTTTACTACATCCACACCAAGTCAAACTTTCAGGATTTCATTCCTCGATATTCAAATTCAACTAATCTAACGACCTCATACATATAGCAGAATATAGCAGAAACAAAACCACCTATATATATAATATCCTATCCCTCACCTCCACTTCATCACTGTGTTCTCCTGAAATATCCCTCATCTTAAAGGCAGTGTATGTCATCCATTTTTATCAGTTACCTTGTGTTACCATTAATGCCCACAGGTCATGCACATATGTTTCTTAACAGAATACTGAATTTGTAATATTTGACAAATTTATCAAAATTTCAACTGTTATTGAGCAACAGACGAACTCCTGTTGCTCTTAAAAGAAATGAATAGATCAGATTTGATAAATATTGACAGAAAATGCCATGAGGACATTAACCATTGTAGGTATAAGTAGCCCTGTTGAAGGAATTTGTCAAATTTTATAAATCTTGTACAGTCATTATTAGTGATGTGATAAAATACTACAATCAACCATCAGCTTCAGTGAAAGCACCCGAGAACTTTGTATTAACCCATACCAATCTCTACTGCACTTTTAACAATATATTGGCAGTGGGAGAACAAAAAAAAAAAAAAAAATAAAAGATAAAAAAAAAACATTTTGAAAAATTTAACAAAAATGTAATATATATATAACATATAAAGAAAGCATCATGTACAGAATGCTGCATAGGACTCACTGGCAGTATACAAAATATTGTCGGTATACCATGGTAAACTCTTAACTATTCTAAATTAGCCACATTCTATTACATAGAACCTTTTCCAATATAATGCCCTTTCCATGATTTTTTAACCCTTTTCTTTCTTTTTCAAACTATATATATTTTTACTCTCACTTTATCAAAAACCATCAAAATATCTATGAATAACATGCAGACAACCTGCTTGATGTTACCAAAACAATTCAAACAGTTTATGTAAACATGTGTATATAATTTGTCATGATAATTTATTGTTCACATTCAAATAAAAAGTACAGACATTTCTATTGCTTTCAATATTTTTTCCTCGGCGGTGAATAAAATTTGAAAGTTTGATGGAGAGTGATGAGGCATTTATATCAAATGTTTATCATTAGCAACCATATACATTTTTGAAAAACAACAACAGAACCTAATGTGTCTCCCTACTGATAGACAGTAGTTTGAACTTATGCTCCCTCAAAACAGGTCATGAATAAAACATCATAAGTCATCACTTTGTGTGGTCATACAACACAAGCTAGAGAATATAAGGGAAAACTAAACAAGATAATTAGCTTTATCACACCATATGATCATGCCATCAGGGCCATAGAAACAACTACAAAGGACCAAATCCATGAAGTCAAGGTGGTTTATCCAGTCACACCAAAACCCATACTGTAGAATCTACCATCAAAAACCATTGTCCAACCCTTCCTATCTTTTCACTTATGTTGTGTTTTATAATAACTTCAAGCTAGGGTTATTGATAGAACAAATTTCCTTCTGTGATAATAAAAAGTCCAAACTATCCCTGGTAGGTCACAAAGAAGTCCTATTTGCCTCCACGAGCCATGGATGTTGAGAATAATAGCAGTTTTTGTTGTTTCTTTTTCTTCTTACCTCCTGAAGTCGCCTGAGGAGGATTGGATTCCACATCACCTATAGCAGTGACAGTATAACAATAAGTGTATGATCTAAATGAGAAAAACATGCATTTTAAATTTTAAAATTCATAATTTCCCTAGAATGTTAAAACCACATATTTCTCTTAAAACAAATTTAAAATCTTGAAAGAGACATTTTATTCATTTTCCCCAACTGTTTGCAATGTATTTCAAGGTGTGTTGTTTTTACAATGTTAGTCAATGTGTGTTGCTGTTACAATGCATGTCTGGCTGTGTTGTTTTTATAATGTTAGTCAATGTGTGTTGCTGATACAATGTATGTCTGGCTGTGTTGTTTTTACAATGTTAGTCAATGTGTGTTGCTGTTACAATGTATGTCTGGCTGTGTTGTTTTTACAATGTTAGTCAATGTGTGTTGCTGTTACAATGTATGTCTGGCTGTGTTGTTTTTACAATGTTAGTCAATGTGTGTTGCTGTTACTGATACAATGTATGTCTGGCTGTGTTGTTTTTACTAGCTGTGTTGCAATGTTAGTCAATGTGTGTTCACAATGTATGTCTAGCTGTATGTCTGGCTGTGTTGTTTTTACAATGTATGTCTGGCTGTGTTGTTTTTACAATGTTAGTCAATGTGTGTTGCTGTTACAAAGTATGTCTAGCTGTGTTGCTGTCACAATGTATGTCTAGCTGTATTGTTTTTACAATGTATGTCAAGCTGTGTTGTTTTTACAATGCATGTCCAGCCGTGTTGCTTTTACAATGTATGTCTGGCTGTGTTGTTTTTACAATGTATGTCAAGCTGTGTTGTTTTTACAATGTATGTCCAGCCGTGTTGCTTTTACAATGTATGTCTGGCTGTGTTGTTTTTACAATGTTAGTCAATGTGTGTTGCTGTTACAATGTATGTCTAGCTGTGTTGTTTTTACAATGTATGTCTAGCTGTGTTGTTTTTACAATGTATGTCCAGCTGTGCTGTTTTTACAATGTATGTCTGGCTGTGTTGTTTTTACAATGTTAGTCAATGTGTGTTGCTGTTACAATGTATGTCTAGCTGTGTTGTTTTTACAATGTATGTCTAGCTGTGTTGTTTTTACAATGTAAGGCCAGCTGTGTTGTTTTTACAATGTATGTCTAGCTGTGTTGTTTTTACAATGTATGTCCAGCTGTGCTGTTTTTACAATGTACGTCTAGCTGTGTTGTTTTTACAATGTATGTCAAGCTGTGTTGTTTTTACAATGTATGTCAAGTTGTGTTGTTTTTACAATGTATGTCTAGCTGTGCGGCCGTTACAATGTATGTCTAGCTGTTATCAGTATATCTCATACCTTTTGGTGAAAGTTGGTGCAAATTATCAAGGGCAGTCTGAAAGGCATCTCCAAATGAGTTGTGGTATTCTGGTACAGGTACCTTGTCCTCAGGATCACTATCCTCACTTCCACGACTAACGGTCCGTCCTCTGGCAATGACAGAGGCTGTGTCACCACCTCTTGCAGCAGCCTTTGGCCACACAGGCACTTGGCGTTTCCCAGCTATCAACATCTGTATAATGAACAATGGATGAAATCAGGTCTTACATTTATCAATTTCCAATATTTCAAATCAGTAAAATTAACATTTCTACTTGTCTGCTGTTTTTCTGTATAGTAAATCATTGAATGGGATCCTGAAATACTTTTTATCCCTAATTTAACTGTATTTGCTGATATGCAGTTTGAACAACAGAGCTTTAATTGACAGCCATCACAAATCTTTGCTATATTAAAGTTCACTCTTAAACTTGAAAATGTCTGCAAGAACCTGCTGCACTACCAAGGCCTTGGTGTCCCAGGTATACTCCTAATTGATCATTGTATGAAGTTTGACCTCTTGTTTGTTGGAGTATGAAAATAGCATCAATGCAAAGATATTACAGCAAGTGCAAATTGTTTCCAACTTATAAAAGAGTGAGATAATGCAAATATACCTGGGCAAATGACACACTGGTTGTCTGGTCACCTTCTGTTTCCACGTCTGCCTCTGTTCTGGAAAGGAAATCAGGACAAAGTGGGTTCAAGTATGATCCGCTGTCAAGCGGGGAGTGAGCCATGGAAGAGGTGTTACTGTCATCACTTTGGGCTGCAGGTGAAGATGGGCGATTCTCCGACATCACTCCTGGTACAAACTGACTAGGAACAATAGTCACATCTGGAGCTGTTAAAAGCAAGACAAAATGATAAATGTTTTGGAAATATATAAACCCCCCCACTTTTTGTTTTCCCTGTTAAGACCCAATATAACCAGATTTTCATCAACATCTAAGCATTTGTAAATTTCAAAATTCACCTCGAATGTTCTGTATTTCTCTGCCGTTCTACGTCTTTTTTCCATCTTTTCTAAAGTAATGTAAAGTCACAAAAAGTTTTTGACTGACTCAGGTATATCTAAGACTAAAAGGAACCCTCTTTAATATGATATCAAACAGGAACAGCTAAAGCATAATTACTTATTCCCATCTTTTTCTTTTCATCATCCTGAATTTTCTTTGTCCTGCGACGCTCCTCTCGGTGTTTTCTCTGTCGCATGCGACGACGCTTCTCAATGTCATCTGTCAACAGTTAATTTATTGTGATAAAAAAATTAGGACAAACTCTTGCAGATAATTCATCTTTTTAAAATTTCAACATCCATTAATTAAACAAGACAATTTTGCAAATTACAGTCCCAATCAAATGTGTCACTTTTCACTGCACAGATAAATTTGTGCAGGAACTTATTCTAGACATTTAACGTTTGACAGGCCTACCATGTAGATATATAGACCTAATATATAGTTTGTGAATCATTCAGGAATATTCATCTTGTTGAAGAGGAAAATATACTTTTTCTTTAATGCAAATACATTAAGCTCCATTAACTCTTATTGTATTTATGATGCCAGCTGTCACAAAAAAGTGCTCCAGTATCCATCATGATATCCTGTAATGTTGTGGTCAATATGCCTGCTTTCCTTTGTAAAGTCTAGAGATGTCATGGAGCAGGTTTAAGTTACTCGCCATTTAAGCATGTTCTTATGCAGGGATTGGCTGATGAAATATCATCTCTAACATAAGTATCAACCATAAAATGAAAATTTTCACATTTTTCAAGTGTAACCATTTATCAAAATATGAAATACTCAGAAACTGACTTATTTATGGCAGGTAGTTAACATTGACAACAAAATTGTGGACTCGGACCATACTTTTGATTTCTGAGGCACTGACTACAAGAAAAACATAATTACAATATCAAAAACTATTAAATATATAAAAATAGGGTTGTTAGTAAAAATAAATCAGGAATAAGTTAATAATGATTTGTGCATGCAATGAAAAAATCAAGTAAGGAATGAGTGATAAATAATATATGAGTGATACAGTAAACACAAGAACAATTGTACTTTCTCCATATTACCAGCGATTGCAACACATTGTCAAGCAGATATTCAATAAAAATGCTTAAAACTCATTGTATATCATAGACTGAAGTAAATAAATGTCACAGTATTTTTATAATAGGCACCTCACAGTCATTAATCATCCTTTTATCACCATGTGCTTAAATAAGTCATGTGCAAACGACCACCCTGGAAGTCACTTTTGTGACATATTGTGCAGGAAATCAGGCCTCAACAAATGTTTTCCTTACATAGATCAATGGTCAAAATGAAGGTCAGAGTGACCTATGTTCGATACAGGATGCACTGCCTCACCAGGGTGAACCCCAGCCCCAAGAATGAAGTTCCAGTGACTAGCATGTTGGAGATGCATGCCGGAAAAGACAGAGGGATGATGGACAAAATTGTAATTACTTTTTTCACTGCTATAAATCACCTTCATTTTCAAAGGAAATTAAAGTCGAAGGGATTGGCAAAAATGTTCAAGATATGAATGGCACAATTCCTGTGCAAATTATCAATGTTTGATGAATCTCCATAACAGAGACCCCTAGCCACACCTTTTGAAGGTATTCTTCTTTACATCGAAATAAAATCATTGATAGATGAAGTTAGGAAAAGACACTTTGAGTCCCCCATGTTTTCCATTACAAAGCTAGAGTTTACACATTACGGCCTAACTTTCACAATAAACATCACTGTAACTCACCTGAAAAGAACTTTAACGTTTCCTTGGATATGATTGGGGGTTTGATTGCTAGCTCAACCACCTGGAACTCACAGGTGAGAGGCAGATGTCCTAGATATCGCAATCTCTTTCGCAGATCCTGCAGGGCAGAAGTACTCATTCCAATAAGACATTTCTATGGTGGCCATAACTCAAATGTTTCAAGTGATCAATGACGGAAATGGATGGTGCAGAGATACTCGAAGATTTTAACAATACAGGATCAATTTAATTAACACCATGGGGAAAAGTACAAAAACCTTCAGAAAAATTGAAATAAAAACTTTTCATATAATCATAATGCAGTTTTATCATGCTTTACAAGTTACTGGCATTCAATTTTATACTATTTACCTGTTTGATTTTACTAGGACTTCCAAATTTCACTATCATAATTCAATTTAGTCCTTTTAAAATCTATGTGAATCCTGTAAATTTTTAGGATTAAAACCACAATGCCTCCCAGCACACTTTTGATAAATCATTCAGCTAAAGAAGACAAACCATGATATACCTCCGTCATGAAGATGTTCTCCATTTCAACAATGGTAGCAGTAATGGTATCTGGGCAGTGCTGCAGAGCACCATACTCCTTCACCAAACAGCGGGCATTCAGGGCGTGCAAGTAAATATGCTGCCCATCCTCCGCTGAAACAGTTCAAACAAATTCTGATCAGTACCGACATTATGTAAGATTATCAAACCAACATGCTTAACTTTCTCCTGAAAACTTTCCAATTATTGTTTAGAACCAAGTTAAATACCTTGTTCTTTATCAAACTTACCCTGGTAGAAGTAGAACGCACCGTCAGCTCCACCACCTGCCTTACTGCTAGGCGACACCACATCTGGATGGGAAGGCATCTCCAGATGTTCAGCAGCCTCCTCTGTTGGCATAGTGTCGGCCATCACCCCAGGGGGCAATGATGTACAGGGATTCTCCGGAGACCCCGACACTGTGGATATGTCTGTAGGAACAGAGTTGTTTGATGTGTCCAGTGAGGAAATATCCACAGGTGACTTGCCAATTCCTTCTGAGTGGGGTGAACCTTTTGGGGAACCTAAACTTTCTTCAGAGGTATGTCTCTCCTTAGTTTTTTTCTCTGCAGTTTCATCTTCTTCATCAGAGAATGCAGACTTGTATACTTTGGCAGCCTGTTGAAACAAGTTTGTTTATGAATAACTAAATACACATGCCTGCAAAAAGCTTCAGGTACAGTGACCCAAGCTTGAATACAGATGACTTAAAATCATTTTGGCAGCTGTAGAGTTTATGTGTTGTAAACTAGAATGCATGATGCACATGTCTAAATGATTATCGCTCAATCAGGCAGTGACTGTTTATCGGCATGTGTACAACAGTAAGCACTTTCAATGGAAGAGCTCCATAATAGTAAAAGGGCTGAAGTAAATAAATCAACGATACATTCTACTCAAACTTACAGGCTTCATGCTGAAATCCATCAGGAATATTCTGTTTAGAAGAGCATTTTTATAGGACACCACCAAAAATAATTCACATATATTACTTAATACACTCTTCTTTGAAACAATAACTTCCTAATCTACACATACCTTTCCTGTTTTAAGAGGTTTTACTGGGATTGGAATAATATCACTTTGGGGTTCTGCAGCCTTCTGAGTCGTTATTTTCCTAGATACAAAACACTCATTGGCATCTTCTCTTGCCTAAGTAGAATAAAAAATTAATAAGAAGTCAAATATATTTGATCAGCAATTTCAAAGTTAATTCCTTCAAGTTTTTACATTAAACAAAATATTTATTTACATTCATGGACACAAAGTGTATGCAAAGAAATTTAAAATAAAAAGTAAAAGCAAAGCAAAAACTTCAACATTGATTAGCTAACCATAATCATCCATCATGCTATCTAATTTGAAGAAAATAAGTTACATGTTTAATAATTTTAGAGAAAGTTCTCACCTTAAGCATTGCGAGAGCACCATCAATAAAAGGCATCTCAGAATTCTGAAAGAGAAGCTGGATTTTAAAACTGGTACAAAAGCACATCACTTTGTTACTGATTAACTGCTAATTACTGATTAACTGCTTGTGCAATATCTTACACGCAGCGAAAAAGGGCAAACTGACTCATTTAATCTTATGAAACTTGAAGTGGAACATACCTCAGCATCCACTTTCTGTGTTTCAAGAGCAGTCCTCTCGACTGACAACACATGCTTCCTTATCTCTTCCTTAGAGGCTAGAAGGATCTTCATGTAGCGTGTCTCTAGGTCAGAATCTGCACAGTCATCAAATTAAAATCATAATATGTCTGTGTAAAGCTGTACTAGTTTCAAACCAAGGTTTGATATACTATGTATGCCACTTACTTAGATATGGATATATCATTATCATAGGGGCAACTCCAAAGCATTTGAGAAATGGAAACTTATGATTTTGTTTAACTTCAAATGAAAGCTTTTTAACTTGCATTGTCAGCATTAATGACTACTCTTTTTCTATACTGACATTGCATTTATATAAATTTGGTTATGAAATATCTGACAGAACATAAATTTACCTTTGACAGAAAAGAATTTGCCGAGCTCTTTATCCTTACAGGACTTTGGCAGGGCATAAACCTTTCCTTTCTGACGCTTCATCAGACGTAGTGTAATTGTCTCCCCTACTTTGTACTGGTGAACCTCCTTACTCTCAACACTGGGAACAAAGTTATATATTGAATATTGACAATAATTTTCACAATAACCTGGTCTTCACAACAGTAAGTGAACAGCCGTTGAATCAATGCTCGAAATGGCAAATCACAAATTTTCACGTCTGGGTTTCATCCAGTATAACTGAGTAGATTTAGTATAGTGTATTTTCTTGTGGTACTTGTTCACCATCTTAACAAATTATCAATTTTAAATTAACTTCCCTTGCATTAAAACATGGAGTCTTAAGCATTGAAGATAATGCGTATATATAATGACGTAAAAGGGAAAAAACAGGCCTGTTAATGACAATACCATTACAAGATCAACAGGAAGGAATATATTGTAGATTTAGCACTAAACTTCTGTAGAAAATCTGGTTCTCTAAACAATGAAGCACTGAACAGAAACTATATGTTTCATTCTACCATACCTGCGCAGATCCTTGTCATGTATGGACTCGTAACAAATGGGACATTTCCGCCAAGTCTTTTCTCCCAGGGCCAGGTAATGTAGAATACATGCCCAGCAGTAGATGTGTCCACACCTTGTCATCTTAGCTGTAAATACCAACCAATAGAAATGTTGGTAATTGTCTTTAACTTTTCAAATACAGACCGAGAGAATGATAAGCATTTCTTACCAGTCCAATCACACTAATGTTAGATATCTAGAAAATATCAAGTTTACTTCATTAGAAATTAGTTTAGCATTGATTTACATCTTTCTCAAAACATTTCCTTGTTTTTTTTTTTGGTTTGTTTTAATTTGTAATTATCTTATTCCATTGTATGACCAGTATTCAAGATAATGCTTTTATTGTCATTAACTTTAAATCCAAGAAATCTTTGACTTCCGATACTTTTTATGATCTCTTTAAGATATAAAGCTATGTATTTCCTTCAGATTCTAGAATCTGTGTAGACTGTTTTGGACAATCTGCAGCTGAATCTCCAACATACCAGCAACAGGTGATTGCAGACATATTGGACAGGATGAGGTCTCCGAGCTCTGAACTCTCTGTAACAAGATGGACAATGTAATGTCAGCTCTACCCAGTCATATTAATCAAAGTATTCCAAACTGAAAACATTCTTATTTGTCATCGTCATTTTACTAACATTGGGTGAAATATTTATTTTTATACTCACAATGAGCTCAACAGAATCCCAGTCTACAAGTGTATCAGGATTATGGTTGTGTATGGTGTAGTCTCCCTTCTGGCTGACAACAAACTGACAACTGTAACAGAAGATACTACCATTACCAGCATACAAAGAAAATCTTAACATCGTCTTTTCCCATTTCTGTTGAACAAAAAAGAAAATTTGGACATAAACAAAGATTAATTTGAATTCAATACACAATTTTACAAATATACAAAAGCCTTCTTTGTTATACTAGCTTTTTTCCACATTTGACAAATATTTGAAGACCTACTTGGCCTGTAGAAACTGTTCTTTGTTGTATCGGAGATTCCTGACCCGGGACCTGTTCGAACGACCAGTATATCCATCACCATGGTGACGTTCTGGTTCATTGTAGCTGAAATTCAGCAGGTGGTTCAGGTTCACCTTTCGACGGGAGTTCAAGACATTTTCGTAATCTTGGTACTGATCACTCACCTATAAATACAATACTTTTTTTTTGTCACAATGCAAAATTCAACGAAATGCATAGATATCAAAATGAAACTTTCCTTCTAATTCTTTCTTTTTCCAAGCTTTGGAATAATTAAATTAAGAAACCAGATCTACTTGGATCATTTTCCAATGACATCAAACCCTAAATTTGCAGCAGAGCTGAATTTCGAATCTCTGTACTGTAACTTACGTCTTCTCTTTCCCTGTAGGTCCCGCGGGATCTAGGGCGTTTATCCTCCATCCCCCTACTTTTTTGTGGAGTTGGCCTTCGCACCCCTTGCTCATTCTGGGATCTATTACTGTACCCTTCACGCCTCTTTGGTGCTCTCGGATACTGTTTCTGAGTGCCACTGTCTGCAACACAATATTCTTTCATAAAAATAAGTACAGTGAATAGCAAAGTCTCATTCTAGGTATTACTGTTCAAACCAAGACCAAAAATATTGAAGGTCAAACATGTAGATATGAAAAAATATTTCTATTAATGAATTTGACAGTTTGTCAAATGTAGTGTTCATTTTCTGTTCCAGTCCATGATCAGACAGTTAAGCATTTTGACATTTTAAAAAATAGGACTACCAATAACAAGTACCAGTTGTGAGTAAAGGAACAGGGAGGGATATTATGATGAAAACTGTTGTACTAAAACAATGTGTATTCACATATATACATATGTCCCTATTTGACTTAAGGTTTCCTTTTCATGCTTATTAAGATTGTCACTTACGTAAATTAAAAGGAGTATGGAATGTGATATATTAAATACTTAATGTTTCAAAATAATACATGCCATAACTGAAATTATTTCTCAGCTGTTTGATTATTTTACAAAATTGATTATTTATTACAGAAACAATAATAAACCTTAGTCTAGTTTTCATTTGAGCTTACAATACTGTCTTCCAACTTTTACAAACATAACATGCCGTTTTCCCATTATTTTGCTTTAAATGAACTTCACTTGCATGTTCTAGCCATCTCGTCTTGGAAGTACCAAAAATGGACAAGCTGTATTCTTCTCGTCTCAACAGTGTCTATCTGCACCGGTTACATTTTTAAATAATTCTACAGATGCAGCTAAAATCATCTCTACATATGTTATATAAGTCTGACGGGTATGCGCATATGTGCGTGTTAAAAGTGGTCATTTGGACAAGGGCATATTGCTTCCTTATTATGCAATGTAAAATCTCACCAGATTTCTTGTTTTCATTTCCGTTTCCTTTTGGCGGTACTGATGAGGTGCGGTTACCGGGTTTCCTGTCCATGTTCTCTAAAACTTCCTGTGACATTTACCCCCCACAAATAAAATAGCGTTTTGAACCTAAAGGTCGCCCCTTTTGGCGAAGGTGAAACTCGAAATTCAACGGACGCCATCTTTACAACTCCATGATTAGCAACGACAGAAGAGAAAAAATAAACTTCAACAAATCAATTCAAGTATAACAATTGAAGAAAATTAAGAAAAGGAAAATAATAAGCTAGATGGGGGATTGTTTGTCCCCCAAAAGACGTTGGGAAAACGCCTGATAGGTGAGAAATGCGATCGGTAGACCGCTGGCTAAATTTGCAATCGGCGACGAGCGCCCATCCGCTGATGTGAAATGCCCGGATAACAGTTCGGAATTTGACAATTCCACTTACGAGGTCATTCCGAAAAACACTCTCGTGAGATCTCGCGTACGCGGAAAGTTTGAATCGCCACAACAAGCTAAACAGTCAGCAAATATAAGGAAGCGTCTGGAGAAAACAAAGGTTGCCACATCATTTGATTCTTTAACATACATATCATTTTAGGTTATGTTATGTTTCCGATAATTTGCGTTGCCGCATATTTTGACGATTGGCTTGGATTTAAACAAATCGAAACCTAGTTGTTGTTAGTGTTCAGTCTATCAGACCCTATGTGGACAACAGGTCCATCTTTTGAGGGATTTAAGTCTGAACACAGGAATCGGAGGTTTTACGAGTAAATCTATATTTCACGTTTAGAACGTCTGCTATATGTTATATATTTATGATCGATTTTACTTAAGTGGTACAAGAACTTTATTTCCCGTTTAGAACGTCTGCTATATGTTATATATTTATGATCGATTTTACTTAAGTGGTACAAGAACTTTATTTCCCGTTTAGAAGGTCTGATTTATGCCGGGAAGTTCTTATATCTTCTGTATTGCATGATTAAAATAATAATAGTTACAACAACATTTCTCTATCTCTATTTTAAAGAAAGTTTACACAAGTTGTTGGTATTTATTTCTTGATGAGGTTTCTGGTTTTCATTCTGAGGGGAAATTAAAACTAGGAGAATCCTACCTTTAGGTTTTTTGGGGTAGTAGTTCACATATTGCCTTGTCCTTAATGGTCAATCATCACGTTGATTATAATGAAAAGTATGAATTGAAGGTCTGTCTAGAAGAACCAGGATTTAAGAAGCTTTATTATGTATTGTGTGCATAATAACATTAAGCTGTAGTGCTATTTTGTGTAACAAACATATCTTTTATCAAACCTGAATGAATGCATCGAAAAAAATGCATTTGATTAGTATCCAACACATGACCTATAGTATAATTTTCATCTTTATTATCTAAAAAAAATTATATCGCAGACACTACATCTTGAATAACTAATATTAAAAAAAAAGAGAATTAAAGGACGGGTGTAAGAATTACTTACAAATTATCTGTTAAATTTGAAATAATTTATTCATAAATACATGTGTAACTCCTTGATTAAGTAAAATACATCTTCACGCCATGGCGGGAAGTTGTCAAAATTACCAGAACAGGTTTTAGTAGTTGATGGATCTTATACTGGGTTAACAATGCTGAGTAAGCTTTGGGACAATTTCATTAAAATGAATTAAGCGTGATTAACTGATTCTTATTGATGTAATTAAAAATGCATTACTCTTATTCAATATAACTGTGAATGATTGCTGCTTCAATTTTCACCTATTCCAAGATGTAGACTGTCCAGTAAATATCTATAGGCAAGGAAAAATGGTGATCAAATTATTTCCTTATTTTTTCTTATTCACAGATCACTAACATATATAAATCTTATATTTTACAAAAGTATGATAGTATACGTTGTGACCAGTATCTGGAACAGTTGTAAAAATATTCTCATACTTTATATTACTACCTTCGGATAATGTGTTTATTTCCTGTCTTTGTCCCTGATGACACTGATATGACGTCTTGATCTGGTTGAGTTATCTTCTCATTATTTGGATATCTATTTAATACAAAACTACCAAAACAAACAAAACCCTACCATAAAAGAAGTTTTTCTAAGTTCACCAAAGGGATAAAAAATCAGAATGAAATAGAAGGAAATCAAGGTATAGTTGTTTGTTATTTTAGTTGAACAAGTACAGAAACTGTTTTCAATGCTTATAAGGCACCATAATGAGTTATACAATACCTGAGACTATTATGGAATGTGGTATATCAGGGCTCTTGATCTGCCAGATTTGGGCGCCTTTTTTCCCAATTTAGACCCCAAGATTTCACAATTCTAAGGAAAACGCCGCTATTTTTCCCAATTCTAGGGGTCCCGGGCCCCAGTCCCAAAATGGGGTGTGAGAGCCCTGTATATATAGAACACTAATTATTTTTCAGGGAATTTTGTTTTACAGTATGTATACTGTTGTAATTTGAAAATTATTTATATAATTTAATGAAACCTTTAAAGTGTTAAGATTAGTCTTGTGCATGTATCACTTGTTGATAAAACCAAGTACATGTATGTCAGTTTAGAATCCCGTAATCAAAAGTTTGATATTTTTGTGCTTAATTTTTGCAGATGACGGAGATCAAGTCAGACTATCGTGTGGAGAATTTTGATGAATATGATGAGCCATGCCAGATGACCACAGCATACTGTAGTCAGTTATCCCTTGACCAGTATGAGGAACAAATGGCAAACACAACAGAACAAGCCGTACTGGTAAGAGTTAACAGGGACAATCAGTTAATGCATCAGGGCTCTCGATCTGCCAGATTTGGGGCCGATTCCCAATGCAAAATAGTATCTTTTTTCCGAATTTAGACCCCAAGTTTTCCCAATTCCAAGGAAAACACCATTATTTTTCCAAATTCTAAGGGCCCCGGGCCCCAGTCCCAAAATGGGGTGTGAGAGCCCTGTGCATATCCATGCTTTAAGATTGTTAGTATTGAAGTATATTCTAGATTTTGATTTCTGATTATTGAGTTGAAATGAATGTTTGTCCAAATTTTGATTTTGGAACACAGGATTTATGTCACAGATGTAATTACAAAATTGGTTACAATATCTTAAAAAACGTCAACCATTCAAATGATGATATATCTTGAGAACTGAAATATTTGATTAAAAGTAATTTGGCTGATAGTTAAAAATAATATTACTATGTATTTTGATAGAAGAGTGTTCACAAACGATTGTTTCCTAATCTTGCCAGTTTTTCATTCTAACACACTCATAAAACTTTTGCTTAGAATGTTTTAGTAAATAAATGATTGATTCAAAGTTTTGAAATTATAATTCAGAAAAAAGAATGTTCTTAAAAATCTTGTACATTTTTGACACATTGCAGAATCAAGGATTATTTCTGCAACAAGAATTATGAATAAATTCATCCAAAAATACTGGTACCTAAAATCAATAAAGAAAAGATAATGTAAACATGAAGACAAAGATTTAAGCACAACGATACTGGAATTCATGTGAATTAAACTGAAAAGAATTTACAATTAGAACGAAAAAAAACTTTCTTTATTCTTTTGAAAGGATCTCCTTTCCTACCTCGACAAGAATCCACAGAAAATTCAGTCCATCCTGACCAAGAGGAAGAAAGATGAATTAGAGAATTTAGGGCTGATGTCTTTTCTAAAGGTATTAATATTCTCACTGTTGTTGATGCCACATATATATGCTGTTTGTGAGTAGTATGAGCACTACAACATATGTGTTTTACATTAGTACTATAAAGCTATCTAGTCTGTTTTACAATAGTTGTTTGATTGTATAAAGTTTGTGTTTAAATACTAAATAACAAATCAACTTTGAGTTGGCTACACTATAATACACGGTCAAATTGTGTAAGAGTCTATGGGCCCCCTCATCGTGATTCAGGACTTTATCATATTAAATATTTATCATATGTATTTATCTCTATTGGTTTAAAGTTATGATTTTTACATCGATAAACAGTTTAAATTAACTGATTAATGATACTTGTTGATTTTTGTATACTTCTCACAGATTTAAGTCCTCCCCATTATATCTTTATTGTTTGATTGACAGATGAAAATGATGTGTTTAATCAATGGGGATAAGAATGGAGGGATCATTATTCCCGAAGAGGAATGTCAGGCAAAGCTAGAAAACCTTAAGTGTGAGATGACTAAAGTATTGGATTACTCCATAAGTAAGTGATGGTCAGTTCTTATGACCACAAGTAATCAAATCAGAGCAAGGTGACCTTGACTTATATCTAATGATCAAATATATCGAAGGTAGAAGTATCAAAATAACATGTTGATGTGTATTTCTGGCTGGCAGAAAATTTTCGAAAAGTTTGATGAAATAGTCAATAGACATTGATATACCAAAGAACTCCAGCAGTGTATCTTTATAAGGGACATATGTAATGTTACTCATGCTAGTCTGGCCCAGCAGTGATCACTCTAGCACTGTCATATCTTCAGTGATTACAATAAAAAAATCACCTCTAATAATACCTAAGATGGGTTTGTATTTCAGGGCTTTAACTTCAAGATCAAACTTAATATTGAATGCTATTTAAAGAAATTTTTTAAACAGTAATGGTTACATGTACGTGGGAACAAGAGAATTCATGTGTTACATTTACATTGCAATATTTTACTTATTTACCATAATCAGAGCCTTTTTGAGGACCTTTAAGGACCCATATTTGACCCAACTCCAAACTAAGCTTATTCCATATTTCATCCAGATTTTCCATATTTGCTATTAACTCTTGAATATTTCCTTTGCAATTCACCAATTTTCTCTCCAATATGAGGCAAAAATGCCCCTTCCTAAACTGGAGAAAAAAAAGCCCTGCAAATGCTATGGATCTCATTTTCTTATGTAATTCTTGGATAATTTGATAAAAAATACTATTGTTTTAACATTTCTTAGAAATAGATTAAAATACGTACTTGAATAAACTCAATGTCATTTCTGTATAGATTATTTTATTTTTATCAGAAGTAATTTTTGTTAAGAGTTGTTGTCCTTTTCTGTTATTCCACCATTTTTGTTTCCATTCACTTGTTACTTGATACAGATATAGAAATTAAGTATATAGTTGTATAATGATGCATGTCAGGTATTAATTTGGTGATGGTCATGATAAATTTTTCAGAGGTATTGTAATTAAATAATTTTAATTAAAATTTTCATAGAAATGTTAAGATCAAAATTGGATGGCCTTGCCTAACTTCAATGAGAGTTTATAAAACCTATTAACAGGCTCTGTAACACAAAAATTTGCAAGCTTCTCCTAGGTAGCCAATGGCGGCTTTCATGTCACTATGTTACATCTA